AACCAGGAAAAGTACAAAAGTTTCCATAGATTCAGTTATATTAAACAAAGATTGTTTTGACCAGGAGAGCCATAAATCAGACAATTAGAAATAGCTGTATGTATAGAATTTGAATATCTTATTGTTTATTAAAGTTCTCAGAATTTGTTATCTGACTTCCTGGTAACTGTTTTTACATGCTTAGTTTGTAATAGTTAACCAGCTTTTTTTATTTCTTTGCCTGTCTAATTCTACTTGATATATATTCCTATTCAAGGTAAAGGCGGGGCTGTTACTTCAACAACTTTTAGACATTTAGGGGCTATTTTATTAGAGGGGATTTTGTTCTCTGGTCAAGAAATTATTTTATACAACTTCATTGGAATTATGCAAATCAATAAACCTGAAATACAGGTGTCTAACAATCCCACCACCTTTGGATCACCAAAACAAACAGGTAAGGAGAGATAAACAGGAAATCCAGCTACAGTAAATGTTTTTGTTTGTTAGTTAATAAACACAAGGGAGGTCTGCTTCGAGCTAGCCTTTCCATGAAATTTAGACTGTTATAAGGCACTTGGACTCCATCCTTATTGACCATTCTAATGCCATCCTCATTATATGCTCCTGTATAAGGCAATGGGGAATCTGGAACCCTCTGGAGACTATTAGCTCCTCTTGGGGGATACCATAATTTGCCATTAATCCAATATGCTACCCAGGGGTATCCCTGGGCTGTGGTAGGGGTCTATATAATTTTTTCTTGTTTTCTTGAGAGACCCTTTGTATCTATGGGTAAGGAACAGGTGTGGGAAAGTTTGCCAATAATTCAGCCTGTTGTAACTGATTCATGAATTCTTTTATGGGAACGATCGGAGATAATTTCTTACTCAGGTTTATAAACACCTTGTTTAAAACAATTTGGGCATGATTCAATAGTCTAGGGAGAACTAGTTGTCCCTTCAGAATTTCCCTCAAAATCAATCATTGACTCTTTTCGAGCCTCTTTCTTCTCATGGTTTGTTCTTATGGGAATCAGGGCACAAAGTAAGACCAAGATCAATATTAGCAAGGAAATTATTAAGAGCAATCCCCAGGAAAATTACTGCCCCCCTTTGTATGCCACGCTCTCTTCTAGGAAGATGGATTCCTTGAATTCCCTCTTTCCACGTTCGGACCTTGTCAGAAAACATGGTTGGAAGAGGGTGTGGCATTAAGGGATGTTTCAGTGACGCGTGCCCACCTGCCTGCAGTGAGCACGGAACGCTGTGGATGGTTCATCAAAACACACCAAAAAAAACATACACGGAGACAACCAGGTCCTGTGGGGAATAGGGACAGAATGGCCACCCTCTCTCTCTAGTGGGGAGAGTGTCCCGTCTCCATACCCAAGCAGATTTTTATTGCGAAAACAGACTTAGTTTGTGGATTCACTGTCTGGCAGAAAAGATCAAAAGATGTAGGCAACTTACAAAGGTGGGGACAGAACTCCTGCTGTGATTCTGGGCAAGGTTTGTGGTCTTTAACATATGAAAGGGCTACAGGTTCCAAAGGTTTCCTGCCTGTGCTTTTAAATTCCAAGTTAATAACATCTTCCAGCAAACAGATCTCACAGGATCTTGCATATTCTATGTCCCAGGCCTGATCACTCAGGGGTCCACCGTTTCTGGTCTGGACTGCACCGCCCCTGCAGGCAGAAGACAGAGGCAGCCAGACTTGGATTTCTCACATCTAGGAACAAAGACTTAGGCTTTGACAAAGCCAAGGGGGCAGGGGTTGATGTCAATCACCCCTTCATTTCCACAGCCCCTTGAATTTCTTCCCTTAGGCATTCCCACGTGATCGCATCTGTTTTAGATTCATTCTCTTAGAGAATTGTTACCCATCATTGACTGCAGATCATGCAAAAGGGAAGCCAGGCATTAGAACAGGCAGCGTTCATGCCAGGGAAATAAGATTTGTCTCCTCAGTGGCTCCTGGTCCGGAGGTCTTTCACTCAGCCTAAGTCACAGGGGGTTACAGCTTCCTGAGACCAGGCAGGGTGGTCCCCAACATTTTAGTAATTAGAAGTTTGCCTCGCCCTATGGATATGTAACAAAGGTTAATTTTGATAATCTCTTATTGTAGGAAGTCCACTACTTCAAATTCCTCTAGGCAGTTAAAGCGGGAGGGTGTTCTCTTGGGCCTAAAAGGTCTTGGTCACCTCTAGCTCATGCCACAGAGGCACATCTTGGGATGACTCATTCTGAATTTGTGCAGAGGTTAACTTGAAGAATCAAGGGTCCATCTGAAGAAGGGAACATTGGTCCTGAGGAATGGTGGTGATGCAGGGCATAGGGTGGAGGGACAGTAGGAAGGGCTGGCTCCAAAACCCACCTAAACCCTCACAGTGACAGGTGAAACCTGGAGATGTCCTGCAGAGGCTACTAGCCTCCAGCCTTTGGAGAGGCTGGAGGAGGGGGATGAGTGGGGAAGAGGTTTGACTGCTAATAACCTCTCAACTGTGGCAGTAAGTAAGAAGCCTCAGTGGTAGTGTCACAGGTGGGCACAGGTAACCGGGTTCTTAGTGATTGGGACAAAGAATTGAACCGAACACCCAGAGTTCATAGAAGAGAACATGGGAGCAGGCCAACTCCAAGCAGAGATTGACCTCATGGGCTGGAGGGACTTTATTCTTATAGGGTGGATCCTTCCTGGCTAGTTTTGGTGGGCTTTTACCGAGTATGTACAAGTAGTTGCATTACTTTAAAGCTACTGCGCTTGTGGTTTCCCATGATCCTCCCCAAATGGCCACCAGGGAAGAGGGTCCCACAATGCTACGGAATTAATCCCTGTTTCTCCTGGGGTCCCCCTGTACTAGGTTCACCTTTCCCTAAGCCAGAAAATTATAGCTCTCCATGCTAGAGATTGGTGAAAAAGAAAAGAGTTATTTATTCAAGTTATACAGACTGAAAGTAATGACTTAATGTCTTTGTTAAAATCCCAAAGTCCCTCGAAACACCCACAAACACACACAGTCCTTCCTTCCCCCCTTTGCCCAGTCTGGGGTACCATATCTCAGGAAAACACCCACAAACACACACAGTCCTTCCTTCCCCCCTTTGCCCAGTCTGGGGTACCGTATCTCAGGAAAAGAAACAGAAGTCCGTGGTTTACGCAGCTCTCGGTTTTTCCTAGTAATTTGTGCTCAGCTGGCAGGCCTTCCTTAGTTCCCAGCACCATTGGTTGTATCGCCAGGATCTCCAGCTAAAGCCTCGTGGTGATTCTTCTCATGGCTGGTGGGGGCGGGGGGTGAGGGGGTGTGATCCCCCTTTCTGGGGGAGTGACGGCGGCAGCAGCGGCGGCAACAGCAGCAGCAGCAGCAGCACCAGCACCCAGAGGGCTAGCGCAGAGCTTATTGTGTCCTGGCCCCAGGTCCAGAGCAGGTGGCTGCAAGGTTGTTGCTATGGGAAACAGCTCTCAATGGCCCTGCTCCATTTGTCCCTTCCCCTGGGGTGGAGGATGAGGACATTCTATATATTTTTCTAATATTTCCTGGACACCTTGAGTTCTGAACTCTATTACAAATCCTTCTTTGGGCACCCTTTGGCTGCACTCTCCTACAGTAGCAGCAGCACCAGAACCAACACCAGCACCAGCAGCCTTCTCTCTTATCAGTCTCTGCTGTGTGACAGGTAGGAACTTAAAAGCTCAAGTCACATGTCTCAGCTAGCTAACATACTTATCCCTTAAAGATTGGAGCTGGGGTGGATAAGGCCCAAAAGGAATTGTTTGACAAAGAAGCAGGGAAGCCCTGGATGGTGTAGTTCAGTGGATTGAGCGAGGGCCTACAAACCAAAGGGTCACTGGTTTGATTCCCAGTCAGGGCACATGCTTGGGTTGCAGGCTGGGTTCCCAGTAGGGGGTGTTTGAGAGGTAACCACACATTGATATCTCTCTCCCTCTCTTTCTCCTTCCCTTCCTCTCTCTCTAAAAAAATAAAATCTTTGAAAAAAAAAGAAGCAGGGGAATCTTGAAGAAGGAGAAGGAGGAGGAGAAGAAGGAGGAGGAGGAAGAAAAGGAGGAAGAAGAAGAGGAGGAAAGTCCCAAGAGTGCTCTGGGGACCTATCTCTCTGCGGGTTTTTGGGGAGAGAAGAGAATGCACACGTGATATGAAGATGCCACAGGCAGTGTCTGTGAGCCCTGTACATGTCCTGGCAACCATGTGCATCAAGCATCAGGCATATGCCCATCTTAAAGGCCCGAGTTTACCTGGGAGATTAAAGATTTCTATAGTTGGAGCAGGCTGAGCTCTGGGTACCAGTTTAAACTTGAGGCTGCTCAAGCTCTCCCAAAGTGGCTACCCTGTCTCTCTTCTAAACTAGCTTCCTTGTCCTTAGAGAGGGACGGTGTCAGAGGAGGAGTGGGATGTCCTTGACTCTTGATTTCAAAGCCCTTTTACGTAGTATGGGGATTGTCTGGGGGAAGCCTGAGCTCCAGGGCCAGAACCGAGGGAAATATATTGGTGGAGGAGAGCGCGGGATGCAGACGGGCTTACAGCTTCACAATCCCTTGAAGGTGTTGGAATCTGCACCCCAATCCTCCCCCCACCCCACCATAGTCTAATCTGTAATACGGGGACCTGTCCCTATTGAGTGACTTCAGTTCTCCTTCCCTCTCTGTCCCCAAATCTGACCTTCATCGCCAACTTTTCAGTCCTGAGTCCACAACTGCATTCGTCTGGGCCCTGCGTAGTCTGCGCCGCTTTCCTCTTGGCCATCCTTGCGACCTGCGAGCTGCGGGTGGGCGCGGGCCCTTTAAGAACAGGGTCCCGTTGTTCCTATAGCTTGGACGAGAGTGCAGTCGTCCGAAGGGCTCGGGAGGAAAAGGCACCCAGGACCAGGCTCAGGGACCCGGTGAGCACAGCCCAGAGGAACTGGGGAGCGCCCCAACCTCCCCACCCGATCTATCATCTCTCCTCCGACTTGAGGTCCGGGCCCTCCCTTGTCGCCCCGCTCCGCCCCCGCCCCGCCCTGGCCCGGGCTGCCGGGACCGGGAGCTGGGACTCCTGTGCCGCAGCCCCGAGTCTCCATCCTCCATCCTCTATCCTCGGCCCTTGACAACGGGCACCTCAAGGTGACTAGGCATGCGGGAGATGGGAGGGGGGTAAACTGGCCTTGAGCACTTAGTTGGCCGGGGGCGAGAGGGTTGAGTCCTAGTGGTGCTCCAGTCTGGGGAGCGCCTAGGGCCCACGGACCCAGGGGCACCGGAGGGCCAGGGAGTTGCGCTCAGGGATGGGGAGAGGCCCAGAGTCTCCCTATCCACTTCCCCTGTGCACCCTGGCCTCAACTGCTACCATGACCTCCTAGTGGTCAGCCTCTGCAGGCCTCCAGGATAAGGAGATTAGAGTGTCAGTTTGGAGGAGGGAGCTGGTGAGGGCGTCGATGCGCCGGGCTGGGGCCAGGCTGGGGTTGGGGCTGTCTCAGACCACAGGAGAGGTTGGGACTGAGCGTAGCTGCACTTGGTGTGTGGAAGGGATGCTCTGGCTGTGGGAAGTAACTTGCTCCCAGTAGCTTACCTGCCCTGAGAAGGAGGCCGAGGTTGGGGTGGAGGCCGAAGTAGCAAACTGGGAGCTTTGAGCTGGAGCTTGGGGTTCTGCCCGGAACTGAGCAGGCCCTTCTACTGCAGGTTGCCAGCATGATGGCGGAGAAGGCACTGGAGGCCGTGGGCTGTGGACTAGGACCGGGGGCTGTGACCATGGCCGTGGCGCTGGAGGACGTGGGGGACCCCCCTGTGCTGACCACACATCTGAAGAAGGTGGAGAACCACATCACCGAAGCCCAGCGCTTCTCCCACCTACCTAAGCGCTCAGCTGTTGACATTGAATTCGTGGAGCTGTCCTATTCCGTGCGGGAGGGGCCCTGCTGGCGAAAACGCGGTAGGGAGCAGCCTTGCGGGGAGCTGTGGCCACCCACACCCTCCCCTCAGTGAGTTGCCTAAGGGAGCACGAGATCTGGGTGTCTCCTATTCTGCAAATCCTACACCAGTGGGCCCTGTGGGAACATTAAAATCTCAGCCCCCCACTGTGCACCTGGACCTCAGTGCCAGGATCTTCATTCCCTCCACATCTGTGAACACTGTGACACTAGGTTTAATTGGTTATTGAAGCTTTCCTCTTCCAAGTTGACATTATGATGCCTGCTCCTTGAGTTTTCCTTTCTTACTTAGTTCTTGCTGAAGTCCTTCAAAGCAGGGAGAGTGAAGGTTTGGCACGAGAGATGATATTCTGTTACTAATAAGGAAACAGAGACCCCTGTCACACAGCTAAGTGGTAGAGCTGGGAGTAGAAATTAGGTTTTAAAGCTCTACATGCATTTTTTCTGTCAACGTAAGAATTTCCAAACCTGTAGGAAAAAATCTGTAAGTTTATTAGAGTTTATTTAAACTTAGGACATGCTCAGAAGCAAGATCTCAACAGACAGAAAATGCTCCATATCTGGAGAATGGCAGTTTGACAGTTCTTTTCATGCATTTAGAATCAAAGGAGAAAGTAAGGAAGGTTCCATGAAATCTATTTGTGGTAGATTTGGGAGGTGGGAGAAAGCAAAGTGGGATATCTCTGGAATTTAACATTTACAGTAAATAGAAATGGCAACAAGGTAACAATGAGGACATTTGGTGCATGTGCTCTAGTGAGGGCAGACCTTCAGGGTCTGGAAAAGATGATCTGGCATTTCCAAGGTGAGTTAACCTAGGATGCACAAGAACGATGGACAGGACTCACTTAGACAAAGGTGCATGTTTTACTAAGGAAGCTACAGGCCTGGGGCATGACTACCCACCAGGACCTGCCCAGTTAGGAATTTCTGATATCATCCTGTGAGGTTACTTTTAGTAACTGAGCTTGTCAGGCCTGCCATGTGACCTGAAATTGTTGAATTTACTGCATAGCTCCCTCTTTTCTTTCACAGTTTTTTCCCCCTATCTTAATTTCCCTGTTAAAGCATTCCCATCTCTTCTTTCCCCCATCAGTACATTTGGGTAAAGTCTGGGGCTCTGAGTTCCTTTGATTCCTGACCATCCCCTATACCTCCTGCCCTGCGTAGGTTGGGCTAGGAATAGAGAACCTGTGGTAGAATTTTTTTCCCCAGAGCCTAGGTGTAGGTCAGGGATAGAGCTGGGACATTGTGCTCTAAGGTTTAAAAGTAGATCTGGGATGCTTTCAGAGCAAGGCTGAGCATGAGTTATTTCTGCATTTCCTCCCCTAATTCCAATGAACAACCAAAAGGTCACAGGGCATGAGCCTACAAAAACTGAGGCATCTGGGCTCCCTGCCTAGTACCTTATCCCTAAGCAGTTTCTTTCAGCCCTGACAGCAACTCTGGGCAAAATGAGGGAGTAGCTGTCATTTCCTTAGCCGTCTCATTTCCTCATGATTTTAAGGAGATAAAAAGATAAAAAGGACATGTGGTGAGATGGACCAGCTCTCTGGTGGCTTCAACCCACCAGCCACAAAATTGTCGCCCTTACCTGTCTATCATTCCTTTTGATCTTGCCAGTCCTATTTTGCTTTACTGTCCATTCTGTTGACCTTTTTTAAAATCAATATATTTTATTGATTATGCCATTACAGTTGTCCCTATTTTTCCCTCTTTGCCCTCCTCCGCCTGGTATCCTTCTTCCTTCCAGCAAGCCCCACCACCTTAGTTCATGGCCATGGGTCATGCATATAACTTCTTTGGCTTCTCCATTTCCCATATGATTCTTAACCTCCCCGTCTATTTTGTACCTACCATTTATGCTTCTTATTCCCTGTACTTTTTCCCCCCCATTCTTCCCCTTCCCACTCCCCACTGAAGACCCTCCATGTGCTCTCCATTTCTGTGATTCTGTTCCTGTTCAGGTGTTTGCTCAGTTTGTTTTTGTTTTTTTAAGGTTTGGTTGTTGATAGTTGTGCGTTTGTTGTCATCTTACTGTTCATATTTTTTCATCTTTTCTTTTTTCTTAGATAAGCCCCCTTTAAAATTTCATATAATAAGGGCTTGGTGATGATGAATTCCTTTAAGTTGACCTTATCTGGGAAGCACTTTATCTGCTCCCTCATTCTAAATGATAGTTTTGCTGAATAGAGTAATCTTGGATGTAGGTCCTTGCCTTTCATGACTTTGAATACTTCTTTCCAGTCCCTTCTTGCATGCAAAGTTTCTTTTGATAGTCTTCTGGAACTCCTTTGTAGGTAATTGTCTCCTTTTCTCTTTCTGCTTTTGAGATTCTCTCCTTATCTTTACTCTTGGGTAATGTAATAATGATGTGCCTTGGTGTGTGCTTCCTTGGGTCCAACTTCTTTGGGGCTCTCTGAGCTTTCTGGACTTCCTGGAAGTCTATTTCCTTGCCAGATTGGGGAAGTTCTCCTTCATTACTTTTTCAAATAAGTTTCCAATGTCTTGCTCTTCCTCTTCTCCTCTGGCACCCTTGTGACTGAGATGCTAGAACATTTAAAGTTGTCCAGGAAGTTCCTAAGTCTCTCCTCATTTTTTAAATATAGTTTTATTGATTATGCTATCACAGTTGTCCCATTTTCCCCCCTTCACTCCCCTCCACCCTGCACACCTTCTCCCACCCACATTCCCCCCCGTAGTTCACGTCCATGTGTCATACTTACAAGTTCTTGACTTCTACATTTCCCATACTATTCTTACCTTCCCCCTGTCTATTTTCTACCTACCATCTATGTTACTTATTCTCTGTACCTTTTCCCCCTCTCTCCTCCTCCCACTCCCCTATTGATAACCCTCCATGTGATCTCTATTTCTGTGCTTCTGTTCCTGTTCTAGTTGTTTGCTTAGTTTGTTTTTGTTTTTGTTTCAGGTGTGGTTGTTAATAACATGAGTTTGCTGTCATTTTAGTGAACGTGTTTTTATCTTCTTTTTCTTAAATAAATCCCTTTAACATTTCACATAATAAGGGCTTGGTGATGATGAACTCCTTGAACTTGAGTGTATCTGAGAAGCACTTTATCTGCCCTTCCATTCTAAATGAAAGCTTTGCTGGATAGAGCAATCTGGGATGTAGGTCCTTGCCTTTCATGACTTGGAATACTTCTTTCCAGCCCCTTCTTGCCTGTAAGGTCTCTTGCCTGTATTTCTCTTTTGAGAAAACAGCTGACAGCCTGATGGGAACTCCTTTGTAGGTAACTCTCCTTATCTCTTGCTGCTTCTAGGATTCTCTCCTTCATTTCAATTTTGGATAATGTAATTGTGATGTGCCTTGGTGTGTTCCTCCTTGGGTCCAACTTCTTTAGGACTCTCTGAGCTTCCTGGACTTCCTGGAAGTCTATTTCCTTTGCCAGATTGGGGAAGTTCTTTGTTATTTTTTCAAATGATTTTTCCACTTGTTGTTGTTCTTCTTCTCCTTCTGTTACCCTGTAATTTGGATGTTGGAACATTTAAAGATGTTCCTAAGCCTCTCCTTACTTTTTTGAATCCTAGTTTCTTCATTCTTTTCTTATTGGATATTTCTTCCTTCTGGTTCACTCCATTGATTTGAGTCCCAGTTTCCTTTTCATCACTATTGGTTCCCTGTGCATTTTCCTTTATTTCACTTAGTGTAGCCTTCATTTGTTCATCTAGTTTGTGACCAAATTCAACCAATTCTGTGAGCATCCTGATCACCACTGCTTTGAACGGTGCATCTGAACTGTGCATCTCTTTGTCACTTAGTTGTATTATTTCTGGAGTTTTGATCTATTCTTTTGTTTGGGCCATTTTTTTTTGTCTTGATGCACCTGTTACATAGTGAGGGGCGGAGCCTTAGGTGTTCACCAGGATGGGGCAACCCAGGTAGCTGCGTTGTGACACAGTATGTGGGGGAGAGGTCAGAGAGGGAACAATGGTGCTTGCTCCTCTCTCTGCTGGATTTCAGTCACTTTCGCAGCTTCCCCCAAGCAAGCTGGGCCCTTCTGGTGCTGATTCCCATGTGGGTGGGTTTGTGTACGTTCTAGGACCCTGTGGGCCTCTCGAGCGAACTCTGCTGTGAGGCTGGGAGTCTCTCCTGGAACTCAACCCCCACAGGTGTTTTCAATGAGTGTTTTGTGGCTTTATTTCCCTGAGCAGGAACCCTGGGGTGCACGGTCTGTCTCGCTCCCCAGTTTTGCCTGGTTTATCTGTGCTCAAATGTGGGACTGCCCAGTCCGCCAGCTATCTTGTGTGCTGCGCCCCTCCACAATCTGCCACCTTGCTGGGTCCACCCACTGCTGCCTTGCATGCCTGGGGTCCGCCAGCTGCCAATTTGGGGAGAGTCCTTTCCACGTGGCCGCCTGACTCCACCGCTCCTACTAGTCTGGATGAATATTTCTTCTTTAACTCCTTGGTTGTTGGACTTCCATACAGTTCATTTTGCTGTCAGTACTGGTTGTTTTTTTGTTCCTAAATTTTTGTTGTCCTTATTTTGGTTGTGTGAGGAGGCACAGTGTGTCTGCCTATGCCTCCATATTGGCCAGAAGTGTCTCCTCACTTTCTTGAATTCTTGTTTCTTCATTCTGTTCTGGCTGAATGTTTATTTCTTTCTTCTGGTCCAAATGGTTGATATGAGTCCCAGTTTCCTTCCCATCACTGTTAGTTCCCTGTACATTTTCCTTATTTCACTTAGCATAGCCTTAAGTTCTTCCTCTATTTTGTGAACATACTCAACCATTTCTGTGAGCATCCTGATTACCCGTGTTTTGAACTCTGCATCTGGTAGGTTGGCTATCTCTTCATTGCTTAATTCCTTTTTTTTGGAGCTTATTTTTAAAAAAGATTTCACTTATTTATTTTCAGACAGAAGGGAAGGGAGGGAGACAGAGAGGGAGAGAAATATCAATGTGTGGTTGCCTCTGAAGTGCCCCCTACTGGGGACCTGGACCGCAACCCAGGCATTTGCCCTGACTGGGAATCAAACCAGCGACCCTTTAGTTTGCAGGCTGGTGCTCAATCTACTGAGCCACACCAGCCAGGGCTGAAGCTTTGATCTGTTCTTTCATTTGGGCCATATTTCTTTGCCTTGACATTCCTGTTATGTAGTAAGGGATGGAGCCTTAGGTATTCCCCAGGGCAGGCAACTCATATAGCTGGTTTGTGGTGCTGTGTGTGGGGGAGGGGTCCAAGAGAGAACAGTGCCACTTGTTCAACTCTCGGCTGGCTTTCAGTCACTTCCCCAGCTACCCGCAAGCAAAATTGAGCTCTTCTGGTGCTGTTTCCTGGGTGGATGGGTTTGTGTATGCTCTAGGACCCTGTGGATCTATCCAATAAACTCTCCTGTGAGGCTAGGAGTATCTTCCACCATGGCAACCCCCACAAGATTTTACAGCCAGAGGTTTTGAGGCTTTATTTCCCCTCACTGGAACCCTGGGTTGCACAGTCTCTCTCGCTTCCCAATTGTCCCTCCTGGTTTATCTACTTGCAAACACAGGACTGCCCAGTCTGCTAGCCGCCACCTCACCGTGAGTCCTCTCCACCCCAGCTGCCCATCTCCACCCCTCCTACCAGCCTGTATGAATGTTTCCTCTTTAACTCCTTGGTCGTCGGACTTCCATACAGTTTGATTTTCTGGCAGTTCTGGTTATTTATTTTTTTAAAAGATTTTATTTATTTATTTTTAGATAGAAGGGAAGGAAGGGAGAAAGAGAGGAAGAGAAACATCAACACCTAGTTGCCTCTCGTCTGCCCCCCACTGGGAATCTAGCCCACAACTCAGGCATGTGCCCTGATTGGGAATCGAACCAGTGACCTTTGGTTCTCAGGCCATCACTCAGCCCACTGTGCCATGCCAGCCAGGGCTATTTTTTGTTTTTAAATTTGTTGTTGTCCTTGTTTTCATTGTGCAAGGAGGCAAAATGTATCCAGCTACACCTCCATCTTGGCCATAAGTCCCGTTGTGTGGTCTTTCTTTCCCTTGCCCTTTTCTCTGTACTCTGTCCTTCTCTCTCTAACTTCTCTTTCATTTGAATCATTCTCTCTTTCTCTAAAGGGCAGAAAGTAATTACAGGTAGGCAGAGAGAGAAGAGAGCAATGGGTGTGGAGAGAGGGAAATTTCTGCCATTTTGAGCTAAGGATTCATCACCAGTTTCTCCTAATTATATGTGACATTTCTTGTTTTTTAAAAATACTTTTAAATTAATTATTAATTATGTCAGTTAATATTCACAATACCCTATTATGTCCTTGGTAGGCAATATTGCTATCTTTATTTTGCAGACGAGGAAACAGAGGACCTGAAAGATTAAGTGACTTAAAGTTGTAAAGGACCTTGGCTGGCGTGGCTCAGTGGATTGAGTGCTGGCTTGCGAACCAAGGGGTCACCTTTTTGGTTCCTAGTCAACTCACATGCCTGGGTTGTGGGCCGGGTCCCCAGTTGGGGGCACTTCAGAGGCAACCACACATCGATGTTTCTCTCCCTCTTTTTCTCCCTCCCTTCCCTTCCTTCTTTTCTTTTTTTTAAGATTTTATTTATTTATTTTTAGAGAGGGAAGGCAGGAAGATAGCGAGAGAGAGAGAAACATCAATGTGCAGTTGCTGGCGGTTATGGCCTGCAACCCAGGCATGTACCCTGCCTGGGAATCGAACCTGCAACACTTTGGTTCGCAGCCTGCACTCAGTCCACTGAGCTACACCAGCCAGGTCTTCCTTCTAAAAATAAGTATATAAAATAAAATAAATTGCAAAGAAAAAAAACAGAAAAAAAAACTTGCAAAGACAGTTACTGGCTGAAATGGAACTGCTGTATTTTGCCATGTATAATATACACATTTTTGCCCAAAATTTTGAGGGAAAAGTAAGGATGCAAATTATACATGGGTAGTACTAATGATACATAAATATCGTAAATTTGTTACCAGTACATAAAATGTCTTGAACTTTGTATCTGTTCTTGTATTTTGTAATTATTTGTTACATAAAATTTCTTGTACCATAATATGTAAAAAACTAAATGCTAAAATTCCCTTATAATACAAAAAACAAGTATCTAAATATAAATAAATAATTAATTGAATTAAAAAATTACAATGAAAAATTTTTTTCCTGACAGTTCGGGCCAGAAACATGCATGTGCTTTATACACGACAAAATATGGTAGAACTTTGGTTCTCTCCTGCCCAAGACCTGGTAGGCCTCTTCCATACTGAGCAGTTATCATACAGCAGGAATTTACTTCTAAGCTGTGTGACCTTGGGAAGGCTACTTACCCTCTCTTGGCTTTACTTTCCTCATCTGTAAACTGGAATGATAAGAATACCCACCATGCAGGCTTGTTGTGAAGCTCAGATATTATCTGTGAAAATGCTTTGTGAAAGGCAAGTGTAAGACATTTTTATTAGGCATCAGTGTTCAATCTAGTGCTTGGCTGCGGTTAAATGAGGGGGAAGGTTCATTATTGTCAGTTTCTTGCTTGCAAAAGAAATCACTTCCCATAAGTGGCTCTGAAAAGTATATGCTGCAGTACAGAAGCATCTGTCTTTGTGATTGATGATGGTGATGACTGAGGCAGAGGACTGGAATCCATGACTTCCCTTCTCCCAGTAAGCAACTTGCTGTGTGACGTTGGGTGAGTCACTGGATGTCCCTGGGCCCCAGTTGCCTCATCCATGTTGCTACAGTAGCAACTGAGGTAGTGAATTTTGTAAACTATAAAGCACCATCCAGGCAGTTGGTGTGATCAAGACCACACATTTGGCAGCAGCTGTGTCCCTTCTGATAGGATATCCCAGAAGGATGGACAGCTGGGTGCTGTGCAAGGAAGGTGAAAGCTCACATCCCTTCACTGTCTTTGCTAAGCATGTAGAGTGGAGAGGGAACTGGGCTTTGTGGGGTTTGGAGAGGGTGGTAGTGAGCAAGGTACCTGGTAGGGGATTGGTGTTTTGGCCTCACTGAGGCAAGTCTGTAAGCATAGCAGGCAGGGCCCACCTCATTGGCTTTCTCCTTGTGCTCCACCCTTTTGTCTCACCAGGCGACCCCTGTAGTCTCTCTGCCCTCTGCTCCCTGGACTGTATTACATATACACTCCTATATAGGAGAGCCATTCCTCCCAAAGCCTGGAGAAACGACTTCCCTTTCCATTTCATAATTCTGCCCATCCTTCAAGACTTAGGGCAAATACCACCTCTTCCAAAAGCCATTCCTGATTTTCCCCTAGCTCCTCCATCCTCATCAATTCCATTGTCTGCATCCTCATTGTGCATTATTTGTACTTTTGTTATAACTCTTATTTTGTCTCTCCTCAGATCCACAGATGTTTTCCATCTTTTTACCTAGAATGTGACCTTCTTGAGTGCAGGAACCTTGTCTTCCTCATTTTTTTTTTTTTTGCCCAGTGTCTGGTACAGAGCTTAGAATATAGTAGATATCAATAAGCATTGTCAAATAGAATTAATAATAAAATGTTGCTTTGTAATGCTCTTTGTGTGCCAAGTGCTATCATATGCTTTACATATATTATCTCATTGAATCTTTATAACAACCCTATGAGATAGGTACTATCATCCTCATTTTACAGATGAGTGACCTGGAGCTCAAAGAGGTTAAGCACTTGCTCAAGGTCACACAGCTGGTAAGTGTGGAGCCAGAATTTGAACCTACATTCACCTGACTCCAAACCAGTGCATATGCTACCTCCCAATGAGTGAATGGAAGGTAAGATTTTACTGCACCATGTTAGGGGATATAAACACAAGCCTGGGGCAGAGAGAGCACAAAGAAGAGGCTTTTTCAAAATGAGTCCAAAGCTTTGAGAACACACATTCATAGAACAAACACCATTGAGCATCTAGTTGCCAGCCTGCTGAGGTTACAAAGATGAGTAAGACAAAGACCCTGCTCCCAAGGAGCTCACTGGCTAAGAGGCTGGACTAGGGAGGGAGGGACATGCTGGCATATGAGAAGTACTATGGGAACAGAGAGGACAGTCAGGACGCTCAGGCTGGATCATTGGTAAAGTCTTCCCGGGGGAGGTGAGAGCATGACTCTTGTGTTTATAGAAGTGGATCAGGCTTTTCTGTAACCCTGACCCCCTCTACATGCCTATCCATGAGATAGGAGGGGGTCTTCCATGGCTTTCAGAAGAGTATTGTCACCTCTGGTACTTTGACATTAGTAGTGTCATTTCTAGGGGGCAGGATAAGAGGTATGGGTTATTGTTGGGACTCTGAGGGTTACTGCTTTATCCTAACCAGTTCATACCAAGTAAGGACTGCTTATTTTACTGATAGCCATGGCTGCTCCTAAAAGTTCAGGATGCCTCTGTTCACTACATCCCTTGTCAAAAGTTCCTCCCTCCATGCAGGTTATAAGACCCTCCTCAAGTGCCTATCAGGTAAATTCTGCCACCGGGAGCTAATTGGCATCATGGGCCCCTCAGGGGCTGGCAAGTCCACATTTATGAACATCTTGGCAGGATACAGGTGAGGACAAGGCTAGGGTGGAATGGGGACAGAACCCAGAAAGAAGGATCCCCTGGGGAGCACAGAAGATGTTCCGGAGTTGCCTTGACTCCCATCTCCAACTGATTTTTCTGCAGGGAGTGTGGAATGAAGGGACAGATCCTGGTCAATGGGAAGTCACGGGAACTGAGGACCTTCCGCAAGATGTCCTGTTACATCATGCAGGATGACATGCTGCTGCCACATCTCACAGTGCTGGAAGCTATGATGGTAAGGGCAGAATAAACAACTCCTCTTCCCTCTTGCCCCTTCTGTCTGCTGTCCCCATCCTCCTTATTGGCTAAGAGTCAAGGCAGTGACCTCCTCTCATACATAGCTGACCTGCCTATTTTCTGGGCCTCAGGTCTCTGCTAATCTGAAGCTGAGCGAAAAGCAAGAGGTGAAGAAGGAGCTGGTGAGTGGGGAAAGGGAAGGGGAGGAATGGGACAGCCATCCTTTTTTGGTGCTATTGAGTTCTGGAGCTGAGTTGTGGGGGGGGGGCGGTGAGAGAATGGTGTTCAAGCCTGGCACACTAGACTTAAGGGAGATGCTTCTTTAAATTGGGGTGGCACACAGGGAAGCAGAGACTCAAGCTGATTTGGGGTTGCGGGGCGGGGCTGGGGCAGGTGACAGAAATCCTGACAGCATTGGGCCTGATGTCCTGCTCCCACACGAGGACAGCCCTGCTCTCCAGCGGTCAGAGGAAGCGCCTGGCCATCGCCCTGGAGCTGGTCAACAATCCACCTGTCATGTTCTTTGATGAGCCCACCAGGTAGTTCTCCCCCTCCTTTCCCACCCTTAGCTAGGGCTGAAGGCTGCTGGATACCAGAGCCTGTGCTCTCAGCTTTCTGGGGCCAAGATAAGGGCTTACTCCTCATCTTTATCCCTGCCAATCCTGTTGCTGTAGCAGCCCCATCCTTCACACTGGCAGAAATCCTGAAGTCCTCCTTGACTGATGCCTCCCTTTCCTTCTCTCCCCAACAGCCAATCATTAGTCGCCAAGTCCTTCAGATTCCACTTCCTTTGGCCATCTCTCAGATTCACCCCACCCCTATCCCTAGTGCCAGTGCTAAGTTCAGGACATCATCAGCTCTTGCCTGCATTTCTGCAACAGACTCCTCTATTTCCTCATCTCCAGTCTCTCCCAGCCAATACTTCTTCCACGCTGCTGCCAGAATGAACTTCCTAAAAGACAAGTCTGGCAATACTCACTCTCCTACTTAACAATATGCAATGATGCCCATTTGCCCTCAGATTAAAGTCAGAAGACTCATAAAGTCGTCTTCTGAACATACTTCTCTGACCTCATATCTTGCTTCATGCTGTCTTATATTTTAGGCTCTAATAATATTGAATTGCTTATAACTCCTTGCAAAGCCATGTGTTTCATGCCTCTGAGTTTTGCACATGCTGTGTCTTTTGCCTGGAATGCCCTTCACCACCATGCCTGCCCTTCTACCTTCACCTGGTTTAGCTCTTTCTTCTTCCAGACTCACTCAGAAACCTCTGACTGCCCTGAAAGATGCTTGTACAGAAGGGTTGAATACTCCTCCTTTCACTCCATGTGAATAGAATACAACACATTTCGATGATCTCAAATAATCTGTGCACTTAACTCTCCTAGAGTCTATGCCTTATTTATACATCATTGTAATTCCAGTGCCTGGCATTCAGCAGATGCTTAATATATACTTGTTAAAGTGAACAATGCTCTGGGCTTCTTGGTACATCCAAATGCCTGAATCATAGTGTGTATAGGATATAGGGATGGCCAGAGTGACCCTTTCCTGCCAGTTCCATCCCATTCATAGTAGCTGCTCTACCTCAAACACTCCCTTCTCTTGGCTCTGCCCACCTCACCCCACCCCCTGATGGCCTCTCTCTGGACAGTGGTCTGGACAGCGCCTCCTGTTTCCAAGTGGTGTCCCTCATGAAGTCCCTGGCCCAGGGAGGCCGTACCATCATCTGCACCATCCACCAGCCCAGTGCCAAACTCTTTGAGATGTTTGACAAGGTGAGTGTCTCTGGTCATCAAAGACGAGTGGCCCGAGTTGGGAAGAGGGAAAGGGGTGAATAGAGGTGCTGGTAAGGCCTATCTGGCCCACTGGTCTTGTTTTTTTCACTCTTTTCTTTCCACCTCAGCTTTACATCCTGAGCCAGGGTCAGTGCATCTTCAAGGGTATGGTCACCAATCTGATCCCCTATTTGAAGGGCCTCGGCTTACATTGCCCCACCTACCATAATCCAGCTGACTTCAGTGAGTGAGGGCCTGTTGGTACGGGCTGGGATATGAGCGGGAACCAACACTGGGGACTTGGATCATGCACTTAGGCCTTCTGGAGACAGAGATCTCACTGTCACCTGCCTTCAACACAGACCCAAGGAGGGGCTGGCTTGCCCTTGGGAACAAGGATAGATCTTAGCTGAGCACTCCTCTCTGTGCCCCCTAGTCATTGAGGTGGCCTCTGGCGAGTATGGAGACCTGAACCCCATGCTGTTCAGGGCTGTGCAGAATGGGCTGTGCGCCATGACTGAGAGGAAGAGCAGCCCTGAGAAGAATGAGGTCCCTGCCCTCTGTCCCCCTTGCCCTCCGGTGAGTAGGGGTGAAGAGGGCAGAGAGTGTAGAGTGGGAGAGGGGAGAAGGGACCATGACAGTGGCCCTGCCAAAGAGGCCAAAGAGATGTCCCTCAGAGGCACACAACCATTGGGTACTAGGAAAAACCTAGGACTTGGAATAGACCTATTATTAACAGCTGTGTGACTTTGGACAACTTACTTAACCTCTTTGAGCTTCTGCTTTCTTTTTTTTTTTTATTCCTTTAGTAAATTTTTACTGAGCATCTGTAGTGTGTTGTCCCCAGTGCCAGCACACTAGACTAGACTGATGCAGTCTCTGGCCTCTAGGCCAGTGTGGTTTACTATGGCTCATCTCCAACTTGGAGGTGATGACACTAAACTCACAGTGTTAGTGGGATGATTAAGATTGTCATGTGAAGCTGTTCACACTGTAGCTGGTTACAGCCAGTGTTTGTTCAGTGCCAGTTCTCCTCCTTAAATGAGATACTATAACCCTTGGAAGCAGACAGCATTATTTTGTTGTTGTCATCATTATTATTATTTTTAAATAATATTATTGAGAAAGTGGTGGCATAAAGCTATGATGCCCTTAAATGTTTTATGATGGATTTTGGAGAAGAAGAGAAGTGATTGATCTACTAGTGGCCCCCGTGGGTGTCCTTGACTCCCTTTCTATCTCCTGCTTCCCAAGTTTTTATTCCTCCTCCTGTGTCTCCCCATGTCTCACATTCACACCCAAAGGCCACTTGCCAGACACAAAACTCAATGGTGATAACTTCTCGTTCTGTAGACCTGGAGGACCCCTGCCCTGGGGAAGGGCTCAGGGGTTTTCCCATTCCCTGGGCTGGGAGTGCAATGGATGTGTGCATAGGCTCACTTGACCCAATTTCTTCTTTCCCAGGAAGTGGATCCCATTGAAAGTCACACCTTTGCCACCAGCACCCTCACACAGTTCTGCATCCTCTTCAAGAGGACCTTCTTGTCCATCCTCAGGGACACGGTAAGGCATCAAGTTGAGGGAGAGGAGGCTGGCATGGGCCTAGCCTCTTGGGGAATAGGATCCTAGCAGCTCTTCCCTCACCCCCACAGTGCATCTATGGGTCTATGTGCCTGTGAGGGCAGCTCCACATTCCTACTCCAGTGTGGATGCTCATCCCTAGCCTGTGACCTATACATTCTCCTCCTGATGACCTTGTCACACAGGTCCTGACCCACCTGCGGTTCATGTCCCATGTGGTGATTGGTGTACTCATTGGTCTCCTCTACCTGAACATTGGCAATGATGCCAGCAAGGTCTTCAACAACACGGGTTGCCTCTTCTTCTCCATGCTGTTCCTCATGTTTGCTGCTCTTATGCCAACTGTGCTTACCTGTGAGCTGAGCTGCCCTGGGCATGGGTGGGGATGCTGAGGCAGGGTGTCGGCCAGTTTTGCCTAATCTGCCTATATTTTCAGTTCCCTTAGAGATGGCAGTCTTCATGAGGGAGCATCTCAACTACTGGTACAGCCTCAAAGCATATTACCTGGCCAAGACCATGGCCGATGTGCCCTTTCAGGTGAGCCTCTTCCTCCCTCCTGCCCACTTCCTTCCTGTCTTACTTATTCCATCCTTGCTTGCTTGTCCCCCTCAAACTTACCTATCATCTTTTCCTTTACTTCTACTTACTTAGAAAATAGGTGGTAAGTACCTACTATGCACCAGGCTCTGTGCCAGGCTGGGACACAGCAAGGAACAAGATGGATATAGTCTTGTCCTCGTGGAACTAATTTTCTAGTGTGAACAACTGATGACAAACAGAAAATGATAAAAATAGCCCTGCCTGGTGTGGCTTAGTGGACTGAGTGCTGGCCTGTGAACCTAAGGGTCGCTGGTTTGATTCCCAGTCAAGGCACATGCCTAGGTTGCAGGCCAGGTCCCAGTGGGGGTGCATGAGGGGCAACCACACATTGATGTTTCTCTCCTCTTTCTCCTTCCCTTCCCCTCTGTCTAAAAAAAAATAATTAAAATCTTTAAAAAAATTTAATAATAAAAAAAGAAAATGATAAAAATAGTAACACTACAGATGACTCTGTAAATATTTTTATTTTGAAGCAGTAGAAAATAGTGTAGGCTCTGGAGCCTTACTGCTACTTGCTAACTGTGAGATACTGAACAAGTCACCACATGTCTCTTTGCTTTAGTGTACCCATCTATAAAAAAGGCTGATGATAGTATCTACCTTGGGAATAGTAGTGAGAATTAAATGAGTTTTGTAAAGTACTTAGAATGGTACTTGACACATACTGAAGTGCCCCCAAAATGTTAGCTGTTATTGCCACCACCACCATATTCTAAGACCTCAGGCCACCAATAATCCATATGGCACCTTTGTGCAACTTAGAAAAGGGTGCCTCTTCCTCAGAGTGGATGCTGTACTGTGCCAGGGTACATGGCTTTATGAAAGGGCACAACTGTATCTCAGCCTTTGGCTGCCTCTTGATTAGGTGTCCTTGTACAGGGAACAACCTGTATGACTATGTAGTAGGTTTGGTCCTTGCCCTTCAAGAGGGGAGGGCAGCTACATCAGGGGGAACAAAACTCACATGGAGAGTTAATGAACGATATAAGGAATAAGCTGGCCCAGGTGGGACGGACTTTAGGATAGGCTCAGAAGATGGAGAAGTCACCATGCCTGAACTGGTCAGAGTGGGCCTAATGAAAGAGGTGAGACTGGAAGATGAATGAGGTTCATGTGGCCAGGGAGGAAGGAGACATGTGACTTGGTTGGGGCAGTGCAAACAAGAATGTAGAGACAGGACTAGGCATGAGCATTCTAGAAACAGCTGTCCTAGAGGCTCCTGCTGGGGCAAAGTGGAAAGTTTTGGCTACTGTGACCCTGGTTCACAACCCCATTGTTCCAGTTCTATGCCACTCCTCAGGTGGTGTGCCCAGTGGTGTACTGCAGCATCGTGTACTGGATGACAGGCCAGCCAGCCGAGACTAGCCGCTTCCTGCTCTTTTCAGCCCTGGCCACTGCCACAGCCTTGGTGGCCCAGTCTTTGGGGCTACTCATTGGAGCTGCCTCCAACTCCCTACAGGTAGGAAGTCTGGTATTTGGGAACTCCAAGAAGGGAGGCAGCAGGGGCTAGCATAAGGAGTGAGAGAGATCTATGGGAAACCTTGGGGTCACCCCAGCCTCAGATCTGTCCTGGTCACCCCTGTGATGGCCTTGTCTCCTTCCCTCCCCTCCAGGTGGCCACATTTGTGGGCCCAGTTACTGCCATTCCTGTCCTCTTATTCTCTGGTTTCTTCGTCAGCTTCAAGACCATCCCCACTTACCTGCAATGGAGCTCCTACCTCTCCTATGTCAGGTCAGTGCCTGCTTCCCTGGCCATCTGCCCTTGCTCCTCCCTGCAGGAGGTCATGCTCCAGGGAAGAGAGAGTTGCATCTGGGCTCTGGCAGTTTGCGTAGGGAGCAGTGACCCTCTCTATGCTGTATCCTGCTCTGATGCTCCTGCTTGTCTAGGTATGGTTTTGAGGGTGTGATTCTGACCATCTACGGCATGGAGCGAGGAGACTTGACCTGCTCTGAAGAGCACTGCCCCTTCCGGAAGCCACAGAGTATACTCCGAGCGCTGGATGTGGATGGTGCCAAGCTCTACATGGACTTTCTGGTCTTGGGCATCTTCTTCTTGGCCTTGCGGCTGCTGGCATATCTTGTACTCCGGTACCGGGTCAAGTCGGAGAGATAGAGCTTTGTCCTAGCCTGTGCCCTAGCCCCCACAGCAGGAAGCACCCAGCTCCAGCCCTTTGGGACTGTTTTAAAACCTCCTAGACTCAAGCACTGGCTGCTGGTGCAGCTGCCTTCCCCTCTCTCAGCTCCTCCACAGGTTGGTGGACTGACTGTGCTCTGGACCCTGGCCCTTAGAATCGGGTGCAGCCCTCCATGCCCAGGTTGATGTGGTTTGTAGCTTCCTCCCTTCTTTCTCCAACACCTGCATGCAAAGACCACAGGTAGGCCACCACCCCCCTTCCTGCCCTCAGCACCCTCCTCTGTTGTCTGCCTGGGAGCCCTGGGCTCTCCAGGCTCCCACATACAACTGACAAAAGTGGCTCCTTCTGGGAGTCCTAACCACACAAGTCTTTGTAAACTGAGCTGCTATGAGGTTGGGGCTCTAGGGCTGGGCCTTGATGGGGTCCCTGGAAGACCCATTTGGACATTAGAATGGAGCCAGGAAAGACTCTAGAAGTCTCTTCCTCCTTCTTACCTTCTGCCCCCACCCCCTAAGACCCTGGCTGATTTAGACAATCTGCTGGGACAGAAGCTGGGTTTTCTGTCTGGTCATCCTCCCAATCCTGGGGATTGGAGCTGCCTTGGGTCATAGGATGCCCTTTCTCCGCTTTCCATCACCTTTGGTGGGAGGGCTTTGTGATATCTCTGCAATAATGTTGCTGTTTTTCTCCTACCTGCCACTGGAACAGGAAAATGCACTTTATTCTGGGGGGTGGGGCAGTGAATGGGAGAAGACCCACACTTCCTTTCTCACTGCCCCTGCTGCATGTTCCTGCAATGCTCCCTCCCTTCTCCAGAGTTACAGGCACATACATGTGAACAGGCAATCTCAGCCCTCCATAACTTTGCTGTCCCTGATGGCTCAGAGAAAGAGTGATGGTGGCATGGTGGTGGTGGATGCTGTGGGGAGGGCAGTTCCAACCTCTTCCTGGGGTCTTCACTTGGACTGTGAGGAGGAGACTGGTGCTATCTAGGGCATCTTCTAGATCTGCAGGTGTCTATCCCCCAGTCTTCCCTCTCTCCCAAGCCAGGGGGTGGCACGGGGCATTAGCTCCCTGAAGTTCAGGACCTAACACAAGCACAAGCATGGGCACAAGTTGGTCTTGGCCACTGCCACCCCATGGCACTTTTGTGTATCAAGCTGGCATTCGCTTTCCTCCACAAGCTGGCATGTCTCTTTACGTCCCTTCCCATCATCTAAGGTGGCCCTTGGGCATGCCCAGGGCACCAGGGTGACAGGCACACCAGGGTATGTCTGGCTATCCTGGTGGGTCCAGGCTCATTCTGCTTCCAATTCCCCTTCCCTAGGGCTCTTTTCCCTCTTTATTACTTATTGTGCATATATCTCTCTATCTTCCCCCACTCTGCCGCAGATTCTCCCTATCACACAGAGATGCCAGTTGTATTGGTAGGATTTCACTCATTATTAATAAAACCTATATTTATACAGTATGCAGTGTGCAAATGTGTGTGGGTCTGGTACCTTGTACCATGGGCTGTGAAGGAGTCTTCAAAGCACTTAGTAAGAAGTTTGTGAGCTTTAGGAACCTGAGGCAGAAGAGTGTAAGTTCCAGGTATGAGGTCTGTTCAGAAAGTATCCAGCCACATACTATGAAAAATAGAGATATTTCTTGAAGAAGATACATGGTACAAGAATTATTGCACGTAGGACAATGACACCTCAGTCCCCTTCAAAGTAGGCACCTTGGGACCTCACACAGTTCTCCCAGCATCTCTTCCACTGTTCAAAACACTCTGAAAAATCCTTTTTTAGAATCACCATCAGCTGCCCCGTCATATTTTCCTGAATCTCATTGATGGTCTGCAGTATCTTCCCTTTCAAAGGTGATTTTAGTTGCCCATTGCTTCAGCCTTCTGAATCATCCAGATAATTTCCATGGAGGAGTGGTCAAGCTTGATGCAAAATTTGATGCAGATTCGTTGCTCTATTTGTTCAGTCATTTTGAATGCAACAGTTGCACAGTACACATGCTCACTTAGTGGCGTCTACTGCCACCACTGACTAGTACAGCAAGTCATTATTGTTCACACATGTGCATTCCAGTCCACTATCCTTGGTTGCCAGGTTACACTGATGTCATGCAAAACATTCTCATTATATTAACAATGTCTTTTTCCAGACAGACCTCCAACATCAAGCTAGTGAATGTGTATATTATAAAAGATCGACATCATTTTACATCTCACAAATGTTTCATGTTTATTATCTCAAGGGAGTCCCATGACAATCCTGCATTATTCCTCATAACAACCCATTTAGCAATGGGAGAAGTGAGACTTGGATTAAGTCACTTGTCCATATATCCTTAGCTAATGAAGGTGGAACCAGGTCTGGGAACTAGATCTTCTGCTTCTAGACTCCTTAGACTCCTCATTCTGTCTTTCTTTTTTTATTGCTTTTATGTTATTTTTCCTCTAAAAAGAAAACAGGAAGAAGACAATTCTGTGAAACTAATAAGACATCATGGGTGCTTTCAAACAATTCCTTTTTATACAGAACCTTCTGAGCAAGCACACTATTGTGTGGTGGGTATTTTCCTTCCCTCCTTTTTCATCTGGCAGACTAGGTGAAGTGAGCAAGAGAAGACTGATTATCACCGATGAGTGAGCTATGTGGCCAGAGCTTGAATCCAGAAAGTCCAAAACAGTTTTAACCTTTTCTTACTCTCTCTGGGAGAGGGAAGGGGAGAGAGGTGACAGATGGTACTGAAGAGGTACATTTGTAAGGTGTTCTTTGTTAAATTATGGGGGTTCTCCTAGACTCCTTTTCTTTTTTCAAATATTTACTTTTTAGAGAGAGGGGAAGGGAAGGAGAAAGAAATATCAATGTGTGAGAGATCCATCCATCCATTGGTTGCCTCTCGCACACCCCCAACTGGGGACCTGGCTTGCAACCCAGGCATGTGCCATGACTGGGAATTGAACCAGTGACCTTTCAGTCCCCAGGTGGGCAGTCAGTCCACTGAGCTACACCAGCTAGGGCCAGCTTTGTCATTCTTGACGTGTGCCAATGACACTGTTCATGGTGGTTCTGCAAGTTGGGTGTGGGTGCCCTATGTCTGTTGCATAGGTGTGTTCTTACTAGAGTGATACATGACTTTCTCCTCAGATGTGACTGAGCCCTAGTTGTGCCTAGGGAGCAGGGGCTGAGGAGTGGGGTTTGTGGCTCATGAAGGGCAATGAGAAGTAGGAAAAACTCTGCAACCTAAGATGAGAGTGGTAGAGACCTCACTGAGCTCACCACAGCTTTCCTCTTCCTCTCTTCTTCCTACTGGGCCACATTTACTAGGGCTGAACCATCAGCCACCAGGACTATGGATGGGTCTGGTTAGCCTGAAGTTTGGAGTAGGCAACTGTCCAGAAGTCCTTGAGGTCTGGTAGCAGGATGACCCAAGAAGTACCACATTGTATCACCCACTTCCCTTCGATCCTGAAGCCTGGAACTGAAAGAAGGGACTGGCATCAACCTGGCCAGCTGCCTGGAATACCCTACTTGTGCCACAAGCAGAACTAACTGCCCTGGACTAGATTAGGGTCCAATCTATGACTGATTGGGTACTTGTCTGGAAATGGACTTTTTGTTTCTTATGGGGGTTCAGGGTGGAAGTGGAAAGTGGAAAGAAATCCAGCTCCTGGAATTCTAGCTAGCTTTAGGGACATTCTGAGTGCCACCTTCTCCCTGCAGTGATGCCACTATGTGGCTCCTTAAAGTCAGAGAGCACCAAATCCCACTATTAGATAGTTTTCTTATGATTCCCTCATCTTTACTCTTTCCCTTTTAAAATGCAAACACTCCCAAGACACTAAAACATTTATAAATTCACACATTTGTAAATTCCCTTGGTTGCTAAGGAGATGAAAAGCCAACCTAGAGCCAGCAAAGACCATTTAGGCACAGAGAACATTTGTGAGTGGCTCACATATTTGTAAAGAAAGCTCTTTTGATTCTTACAGTAACCCCATGAAGCTGCTAGGATGAGTATTATCATTTCCTCCTTTTACAGAGAAGGATACCAAGGCTTGGAGCAGTGACTTGAACAAGCTCTCAAAACTATTAACAGTAAAATGACAACAAACTCACAACTATCAACAACTGAACCTAAAACACAAAAACAAACTAAGCAAACAACTAGAACAGGAACAGAATCACATAAATACAGATCACATGGAGGGTTATCAGTGGGGAGGGTTATCTGAGGAAAACAGGGAAAAATACAGGGAATAAGTAGCATAAATGGTAGGTACAAAATAGACAGGGGGAGGTTAAGAATAGTACAGGAGATGGAGAAGCCAAAGAACTTATATGTACGACCCATGAACATGAACTGGGGGGGGGGCGATGCTGGTGGGAGGGGGGTACAGGGAGGAGGGGAATAAAGGGGAGAAAAAATGGGACAACTGTAATAGCATAATCAATAAAAAAAACTTAAAAATATGGTGCTCTTGCCATTGTGAAGCACCTGCTATTTCTCTCACCAGTCCCAGCAACCTGCAGAGGTGGGGTGTAAATGCTCCCTGCCCACCCAAGCAAGTTTTGAAATGGACCCACTCATCTTCAGTGGTGAAATCCCTGGACTGAGGGATCATCTTTTTCACTGTAACCACCTCTGTATCAGGGCCTGTGCAAGGTTTTGGAGGGCAGAGATGACCAAGACTCTTCTACACGAGATGCCTTTATAGTACGTGGTACCCCATTCTGAGGTCAGACAACAAAGCACATGCCCACAGCACAACTAGAGTACTTCAGTCTACAAGAGGCTAGTCAAATCATATCTTATTAAAAAGCTGACATGACTGTCATACCTTCGTGGAAGGGGTGGAGGTAGCTTACTCTGAGCTGTGTCCTGTAACTGCTGCCAGGGGCCTGTCTGCCTTGAGTGACTAGGTAAATGCAGTGAAGCCAGAGGAGTACCCCAGGCCCAAAATGTCACCTCTGAGACCACATTCATTGGGCTGTTCTATTTCCTTCCTCCCGTTCCTTTCCATTCCCTTCTCAGAACATCTGTTAAAATGCAAATGTGCCATTTTCCCTGCTGCCTAGAATACCCTTCCCTTCCTGGACTTATTTAAGATCCAGTTCAAATGTTACCTCCTCTGCTAGAGGCAGTTAATAACTTCCTCCTCCAGGCTTTCCTAAGCCTTCTGTCAACCTCTGAAGTACCATCATTTGGGCCCTGTGGAGGGGAGCTGCTAGGGTATGTCTGACCCCTGCATGCCTTGCTCAGTATTACCCCAATACCATGTGTTCAGTGATGAACAAATATACAAATGAAATATCAACACTGTCTTCAGTCCAGATAAAGGAGATCACACAGCCCTGTTTCCTACCCTGCCCTGAGGAACTCCATGCATTCCCTATTGCACACCTCTGTTAACATTATACACCTATGTTTGTATGTGGAGGCATGCCCTGGCTGTGGGTGGTGGGTGATTCCTCCATCAGCTACATAGGCCCTGGGTGTGACTTATATGGAAACAGAGGGATGAAGGTGAGGGTTTTGAGAACCAGGAAGCCCCAGGACTAGGCCATGATTGGGTGCCAGACAAGAAGAACAGGTTGGGGTGGAACCTGTTTCTCTGCCCCCATTCTTCCTCCTTCCTTGACCAAAGTGACCAGAAGTCATACACAGAGGTTTGGGGTTTGAAGGTACAGAAGGAAGGACCCAAGAAGATCTTTACTCAGATCTCTGCCAGCAGGTAGGCTGAGAAATTGGAGAAGCGCAGAAAAAAGAGTGACTCGGGCATGGTTGGGTGCCTCCGGGAGATTTAGGAGTGAGTTAGGAAGACCCCGGCCCTCGATTCCGGTTCTGGCTCTTCCACTTCTCAATGGATTAGCCTGTGCGAGTCATTTCACCCTTCCCAGATGCAGTAATTCCATCTGTAAAATGGGCATAATAAGCCCAACTTGGGAAATGGTGAGATAATTCGATGGGACTGGCGCTGGGTAACCTGCAGAGGGCAGTCCTAGAAGAGGTGCCTGTTCTGATTGAAGGCTGTACCCAAGGAGGGCGGGGACGATGCGGTGACCGGGGGGGGCGGGATGAAGTCCCTGCCCCAAGGCTGCTCTCCGGGATTTCGGTGTCTCCCTCCTCCTAGGACCCAGAGGAGTCCGAGGGCCTGGGATCACCCTCTCCCGTGTCCGCCGCTGCCAAGGCGGGCAGGCAAGAAGCGCCGCGGCCTCCTGAAACAAGCAGGCACCGGGGGGCCACGGGCTTCTGGGCCCGGGCAGCCGCAGATAATGCCCTCGCCAGCTGAGTCTCCCACCGCCTCAGCCTAGGATGCTGCGCCAGGCTGGGCGGGGCTCGAGGGGGCAGGGCGGGGCCGGGGGTGGGGGTGGGGAGATACACACGAACTCCCGCGAGTGTCGCTGGGAGTTCTCGGCCGCCGGACGCGTAGGACGAAGCTGGTTTGCGAAGTGGTGGGTTTTCTGGCAGGCTCTCCCGTCTAGGTCAGAAGCCAACTGGAAACTGAAAATAATGTTTGGGACCCAGTAGTGGGGGATGAGCTCTGGGCCTGTGGGAGCACAGCCCTTGTACTTTTCCTGCTGTGTCCCCTTCTTTTCTCACTGTCCTGGAAACCTGGGGTGATTTTGGGGGAATTGCCCACGCCACCACCGCACACCCTCCCGTGAGTCTCATCTTGAGCCAGTGGCCCTGGATCTGATTTTATCACACTGTCCTAATTTTCCCAAGCTTTCTCAGCTTTCCAGAGTCCTCTCTTAAGCCTTCTCTAGCCCCTGGGACTCCTGCTGCGAGTCCCAGCCCACCCCTCCACCGGTTGGCTTTGCCGGTAGGTGGGCCTGGCCCAGACAGTTCCCCTTAATTGTGCCCTGTCCAGAAGAAGCCACATCTCTAGGAATCAGGTGCCAAGAAACAGCAGGCTTAGCAGGATCAGGAAAGACTTCCAGAGAGACAGGATCTTTAGGCAGGGTCTTAAAAGATTGGGTTAGGATTCTGACAGGAGAGGAAGGTCTAAAAAAAGGACATCTAAATCAAGCAATTCACTAGGCTGAAAATCATGAGAAAGATGTTCCTGAACCCTCAGGGGAGAAGCAGTAGGTGATAGGAGATAAAATGGGATCACTCAGGTAGAAGATGTAGAAGAGGTAGGAGATCTGAAGGCCAGGCCAGGGCTTTGGCAATGCTGATATTTAAGGAAAGGCTGATGCTGTCCTGAGGAAGAAAACTCTTTCTTGGCCTGCACAGGGGAGATGAGGGTGGTGGTGGGGTAGTTTGTGGTCCATTCACACCATTCATTTTGCAGGATAGAAGGTGGTGTGTAAACCCTGGCCTCTGACCTTCCTTCTTACCATGAGGTGGAGCCAACATTTGTCCAGGGCCTTTTGGCACTCTGGCCTGGGAAGAGCACTACAGACAGCAGGTAAGCAGGAAGCACAGGTTTCTGTTTCTACCTCTTCCTTCCTTTTTAGAGTCCAGATTGTGCCTCTAAGAGTGCAGGGATTCAGACAACAGGTGTGCTAGTCTCAGGTCTGTGATTCACTTAGCTGTTGGCCTTGGGCAAGTTATCTCATCTCCTTGAGTTTCCTTTTTTCCCCACCCTAAAATAAGGGAATCAGACCAGATAATCTTCCAGAATCCCTGTGGCTATCTAAGTTCAGGAACACTTATCTGATTTCATTTTGCATTCAACAAATATTTTCTGAGTGCCTGCTATATGAAAATCTAAGTATATAATTATGTACAAAACCAGATGTGATCCTGCTTTCATCGTGGTGGTGGTGGTGGGGGAACAGAAATGAATGTTAATCAAGTAATCACACAATAAAATATAAAATTACATAACAACAGCTACAAAGGGGTGGTATGTGATCTTTAAGAGCAAATAATGGGAGATTTGATATAGACATAGAGTCTGTGTGTTGGTGGGGAAATGTGGATGCTATTTCTTTCTTCTTTCTCTCTGCAGATGAAAGTATCCCTTTCGTGATCCACTGGACTTGGGCCCTTAAAGGGGAGTGTCCCCTGGGGCCCCCTAGGTGAGGCCTCAGTGTCTTATCTTAGAATATATCTGGGTATAAGAGTAGCCTGGGAAAGGTCAAGCTAGTTGATCTGGGGGGAAGGTTGGTCTTCTAGATGTAAGGAAGGTAGAGTCAGCTACCAGACTTAAGAGGAAGTTGGCTTGCATCATCCTACAGTACAAGTCACAGTGGTCAGCCAGTGGGAGGATCTTGTGGGAGGTGGGTGGAGTCTGGCAGTTATCAGGCTGAGTTCCAGACAGGCAGCTGTGGGGAGCTGGAGGGCTAGAGGCGAGACCTCAATTCCAGGGAAGGGTGAGAGTTGGAGAGTCTCAACTTGGGCATCCAGGATTGGCCCTGGATCTTAGGAAGCCAGAAGTCCATCATTCCAAACAGGCCTGGACTCCAAATCTGTGCAGTGACTGAGCTCAATAGCCAAGCCCCAAGTCACTCCTTCTTCTTGCTCCCAGGGTCTTTATACGCCACTATGGAAGCTCAGTGAGAAGTGGTTCCCCATCAGGGAGGCATGGACAGTTGTTCCAGAGCATCTCTGCAACTGGTAAAGAGATTGGTTCCTCAGTCATCCTGAAGAAAGGGGCTGGCTGGGATCCCAGTGGGGGCTGGGGTGGGGAGAGGGGCCTGGAGGGAGAAGCAAGAAGGAAGAAGGAGGCATAGAGGACCCCCTAACATCATCCACTAGTGGGTCCACCCTCTCTTGCCCCATCCTCCATCTGTCCATGTATGTCTTCCTGCAACACATGTATAATGCACCCTACATACAAAGCCCTGGAAGGGATGTACCATCCCTACCTTCAACAAACTGGGACTAGAATTCTGATAAACATTGCACATACGTATAACCATGAAAACCAGTCAGCCCAGGCCCAGCATCACTCATCCCATTGCTCCCCACTTTCTGCCACAGGGGTTCCAAACTTTCTGGACACTATTTTTTTAGATAGTTCTGTGTGCTCATTATCATTCTGGGCCCCAGCATCTCCTGGTGCTGTCTTGACTCTGCAGCCTGACCCTACCATCATTCTTACTGTCCCTAAATTCTTGCATCTCCTGGTCTCTTCCTGTGGCCCATTCCCTTTACCTTTCCATCCAGAAGCCATCCAGTGGCACCGCCGGAACCTGGCTGAGTGGTTCAGCCGGCTGCCCAGGGAAGAGCGTCAGTTTGGCCCAACCTTTGCACTAGACACAGTCCACGTGGACCCTGTGATCCGTGAGAGCACCCCCAATGAGCTTCTCCACCCACCTTCAGAGCTGGTGCTGGAACATCAGCTGCCCCTGGCCAGGCTCTCTACATTGGCTCTGTCTCATCTCTTTGACCCAGATGCCTGTGGGCGCCGGGTGCAGACAGTAGTTCTGTATGGGACGGTGGGCACAGGCAAGAGCACGTTGGTGCGCAAGATGGTCCTGGACTGGTGTCATGGGCGACTGCCAGCCTTTGAGCTGCTCATCCCCTTCTCCTGTGAGGACCTGTCATCCGTGGGCTCTGCTCCGGCCTCCTTGTGCCAACTTGTGGCCCAGCGTTACACGTCCCTGAAAGAGATTCTGCCCCTGATGGCTGCAATTGGGTCCCGCCTGCTCTTTGTGCTTCATGGCTTGGAGCGCCTCAACCTGGACTTCCAGCTGGCAGGCACAGGGCTTTGCAGTGACCCTGAGAAGCCAGAGGCACCAGCTGCTATCATAGTCAATCTGCTGCGCAAATATATGCTGCCTGAGGTAGGTGTCCCCCCTGCCTCTCCCTGCCACCTCTATCCCTGACTTGCCACCTAAGGATTTTTGTGTCCCAGGCCCACATAATTATTGGGTAAGAGAGGCCCATGGGCTAGTTCAAATTCTGGCCCACCACTTCCCAGCTATGTGTCATTGAGCAAGTCACTAACTTTCCCAAGCTTCTGTTTTCTTTTCTTGAGTTGTATTGATCAAATGAGATACTACATATAAACTGCTTGGCACAGTGTGCTGGCTCATAGTTAGTGCACAATAATTGTTAGTTATAATTATTATGGTCATCATCTTTTCATCCTTGGGCACTTGATTGTCAGGTGCTCTCTGGGGAGTGAGGCAATCAGGATATCAAAATCTTTCTTAACCCTCAACTGTGCTCTACCCAGGCCAGCATTCTGGTGACCACCCGGCCCTCTGCCATTGGCCGCATCCCCAGCAAGTATGTGGGCCGCTATGGCGAGATCTGTGGCTTCTCTGATACCAACCTGCAGAAGCTCTATTTCCAGCTCCGCCTCAATCAGCCAGACTGTGGGCATAGTAATGGGGTGGGTGTCTCAGCCACATCAGCTCAGCGTGACAGCCTGGTGGAGATGCTCTCCAGGAACCTGGAAGGGCACCACCAGATCACTGCTGCCTGCTTCCTGCCCTCCTATTGCTGGCTTATCTGTGCCACCTTGCACTTCCTACATGCCCCCACACCAGCCGGCCAGACCCTCACAAGCATCTACACCAGCTTCCTGCGTCTAAACTTCAGTGGGGAGATGTTGGACAGCAGTGACCCCTCTAAGTTGTCCCTGATGGCCTATGCTGCCCGAACCATGGGCAAGTTGGCCTATGAGGGGGTGTCTTCCCGCAAGACCTACTTCTCTGAAGAGGATGTCCGTGGCTGCCTAGAAGCTGGCATCAGGACGGAAGAGGAGTTTCAGCTGCTGCATGTCTTCCGCTGGGATGCTCTGAGGTTTTTTCTGGCTCCGTGCATGGAGCCAGAGCGTCGAGGCACCTTTGTGTTCACTGTGCCTGCCATGCAAGAATACCTGGCTGCCCTCTACATCGTGCTAGGTTTGCATAAGACAACTCTGCAACAGGTGGGCAAAGAAGTGGCTGAGCTCGTGGGCCGTGTCGGAGAGGATGTCAGCCTGGTCCTGGGGATCATGGCCAAGCTGCTGCCACTGAGGGCCTTACCTCTGCTCTTCAACCTGCTTAAGGTAACACCAGCCTCTGGACCCTAGGCTGTCAGCCTTCTTCTCTCCATCTACCCCTTGCTCCTCCCCCAGAAGGAAACTGCTACTTCTTGTATAGCTATGAATCCTCCTTTTTTTTTTTTTGGTTTTGGAACTGGCTTCAGATTTGGGCAATCTGGCTTTTAGTGGGATTGGGGCATAAGGAAGGGAGAGACAGAAGCCATAGGCAGGGGAAGGCTTGGAGGCTGGGAGGGGAATTAGAGGGTGCAGGGACTTTAATAACAATCCTACAATCCTAAAACGGTTTTCTTTTGCATTTCTTCTCCTAGTCTTTGCTTCTGGGAGGCAGGGGTCACCATAGTTCAGGGTCTGTCCTCTGCTTTGCAGGTCCAGACACTCTATTATATCTGTTCTCCCAGAGATGATTAGAGTCCAGGAGTGGTGACTTGTCTTAACTAAATTGCCAGAGGCAGGTTTATAAAGCAGATGCCATTTTATTCATTTATATGAGGAGAATGAATGCACTGGTAATTGGCTTAGGACCACCTACCCAGGGTGCAGGTCCATTCCAGAAACCAAATTACAGGCCTGAGAACTGTGCTGTGAACAGGGCAGATGTACTAAGTTTTTGAGGGGAAGAAGGATCCTTCTGATATCTACAAGGTGACTTGTATATGAAATGCTATTATGATCCCATTAATTTTTATTTTTAAATTTTATTTAAGAGAAAGAGATAAACAATGCTTTGTTGTTTCACTTATTTTTTAAAAATATATTTTATTGATTATGCTATTATAGTTGTTCCATTTTCCCTCCTTTATTCCCCTCCACCCTGCACACCCCCTCCCACTTGCATGAACTAAAGCGGGGGAACTAATGGGTCGTACATATAAGTTCTTTGGCTTCTACATTTCCTATACTATTCTTAACCTCCTCCTGTCTATTTTCTACCTACCATTTATGCTGCTTATTCCCTGTACCTTTTCCCCCATTTCCCCCTCCCTTTCCTTGCTGATAATCAACCATTGGATCTCCATTTCTGTGATTCTGTCCCTGTTCTAGTTGTTTGCTCAGTTTGTTTTTGTTTTTTTAGGTTTGGTTGTTGATAATTGTGAATCTGTTGTCATTTTATTCATATTTTTGATATTCTTTTTCTTAGATAAGTCCCTTGAACATTTCATATAATAAGAGTTTAGTGATGATGAACTCCTTGAACTTGACCTTATCTGGGAAGCACTTTATCTGCCCTTCCATTCTAAATGAAAGCTTTGCTGGATAGAGTCATCTTGGATGTAGGTCCTTGCCTTTCATGACTTGGAATACTTCTTTCCAGCCTCTTCTTGCCTATAAGATTTCTTTAGAGAAATCAGCTGATAGTCTAATGGGCACTCCTTTGTAGGTAAAGGTCTCCTTATGTCTTGCTGCTTCTAGGATTCTCTCCTTCTCTTTAATCTTGGCTAATGTAATTTTGATGTGCCTTGGTGTGTTTCTCCTTGGGTCCAATTTCTTTGGGACTCTCTGAGCTTCTTGGACTTCCTGGAAGTCTATTTCCTTTGCCAGATTGGGGAAGTTCTCCTTCATTGTTTTTTCAAATAAGTTTCCAATGTCTTGCTCTTCCTTTTCTCTTTCTGGCACCCTTATGATTTGGTTATTGGAACATTTAAAGGTGTCCTGGAGGTTCCTAAGCCTCTCCTCATTTTTGTGAATTCTTGTTTCTTCATTCTGTTCTGGTTGAATGTTTATATCTTCCTTCTGGTCCAAATCATTGATTTGAGTCCCAGTTTCTTTCCTGTCACTGTTGGTTCCCTATACATTTTCCTTTATTTCACTTTTCATAGCCTTCATTTTTTCCTCTAATTTGCAACCATATTCAACCAATTCTGTGAGCCTCCTGATTACCATTGTTTTGAATTGTGCATCTGATAGGTTGGGTATTTTTTCATTGCTTAGTTGTATTTTTTCTGGAGCTTTGATATGTTCTTTCATTTGGGCCTTTTATTTATTTATTTATTTATTTATTTGGTCTCTGCTGCCTGTTATGTAGTAAGGGGCAGAGCCTTATTATGGTAAGGGTGTGGGTCTTGTGCATCTCCGAGTGGGAGCTGGTCCCATGCCATGCAGAATGGTCTCGTACAGTACATAGTAAGTGCTATTTAATTGTTAAGCATAACAATAGGCTTAGGTAGCCCACCTCTTATTACACCATCACCTCATACTGGAAGGTAATAGCCATTGCTGAGGCTATCCCACCCCTTTGAGGATGTACTTGGCTCCTCCGGGTTACAGTGAGAGGCTGTGGTCCCCTGACAAATGCCAGAAAGCCCCTCCATTCTTTTATAGTGCACTGGAAATGTTACCACCACAGTTCCAAGCTCTCTTAGAGGGAGAATTGCCCAGCAGAGAATGGTTCCATACTGCTTCTTCATGATCCTATTGATTCAGCTTCCCAGGGTGACATTTTCTCATCCCAGTACCAGATTGGTGTAACCTCCTTGGCAGGAACTTCCTCTATAAAAAGCAAAAAAATAAAACCAGACATTACAGGAGGTGTCACAACCTCGTGGCTTAGTGCCAGGGGTAGGGACCATTCATTACTTTCAGAACCATTGTAAGGATGTGAGATGGTGTTGCAAATGTCCCCAACATTCACTCTTCAATGAATATTTGAGTGCCTGCTGTATGCCAGGCAATATGTTAGATTCTGAGGAAAAAACAATTAACTGCCCCCTCCAAAGTTTGTGCCTTTTCCAATCATACGGTCTGAACACAAACACATCAGCATAACCATGTAATTAAAAAGTGTGGTAAGTGCCTGGAAAACAAGGTTCCAGGTTCTGAAAGTGTCTAATGGGAAATAAGAAAAGCCTCTCTTCAGGAAGGACACTTAGTCTGATCCATAGAGGATTAGCCAGGAAGAGAATTGGGGAGAAACACCCTAGGAAGAGTATATAGCTTTGCCACTGTGGAGGAAGCGGGGAGGGGACAGAGAGAGAGAGAGAGAGAGAGAGAGAGAGAGAGAGAGAGGGAGATATCGTGAGCAGCTGAAAGGACAAGCAGAGTGAGTGAGAGTGAGAGGCTTGTGATGATGTTGGCAGGAACCAAGTGATGCAGGGTTTTGAAGTAGTAAGAGTGATATCAGTCATCACTGATGACAGATCAGAGCAATCTGTGATGATGATGTTGAAGATATATTTATATATTTGTATATTTATATTTACACTGTTCCAAACTAGCTATGTGATATATGCTGGTTTCTTCCCACTACCCTCTGGGCTTGAAAATGTATGGGGGTGTTTAAGAAGAATGTATGTATGGAGTGCATGAGACAAGTGTCGAAGGATGACTCTGGAAAGATCAAATTGGGGCAAAATTATGAAAAGTTTTATATTCTGTGAGGGCATTAGGGGGTGAGGTATGATCAGACAAATCATGCTATGAGTTCAAGAGGAGAAATGAGGCTGGAGCAGTCAAGGAGAGTGTATCTTAAGCTGAGCTGTGAAGGATGAGCGGGCATGCAGAAGGCTGAAGTGCCTTTCTCCTGCTTCCTTTCCCAGGTAGTTCCACGAGTTTTTGGGCGCATGATGGGTAAAAACCGTGAGGCTGTGGCCCAGGCCATGGTGTTGGAGATGTTCCGGGAAGAGGATTACTACAATGATGATGTCCTGGACCAGATGGGTGCCAGTATCCTGGGAATAGAGGGCCCCCGGCGCCACCCAGATGAGCCCCCCGAGGATGAGGTCTTTGAGCTTTTCCCCATGTTCATGGGAGGACTTCTCTCTGCCCATAACCGGGCCATGCTGGCTCAGCTTGGCTGCCCCATCAAGAACCTTGATGCCCTGGAGAATGCCCAGGCCATCAAGAAGAAGCTGGGGAAGCTGGGCCGGCAGGTGCTGCCCGCCCCGGAGCTCCTTGACCACCTCTTCTTCCACTATGAGTTCCAGAATCAGCACTTCTCTGCTGAGGTGCTCAGCTCCCTGTGCCAACTCAACTTGGCGGGTGTGCGCATGACACCCCTCAAGTGCACAGTGGTGGCAGCTGTACTGGGGAGTGGAAGGCATGCTCTGCATGAAGTGAACTTGGCTTCTTGCCAGCTGGACCCTGCTGGGCTACGCACACTCATGCCTGTCTTCCTGCGTGCTCGAAAGCTGGGGTGAGGACCTCATGCACAGGCATGAAGAAGGAGAGGGCTGGAGGTGAAAAAGTGGGGAGAGAAGGTGCTAGGGAAACCAAAGGTACTGAGGAAAGACCAAAGGGTAGGATGAAAGAGTGGTGTGCATAGAGGTGACAAGAGCAATAGAAGGGAGGACAGGTGTGGACTGCAAGAGTCAGGATGGTGAGAAAGGGGCCTGGTGGATGGGCAGGCCCTATGCTGAATTCCTTCTTTGGTTTCACACCTTTCCTCTGGTCACATTTTGCTTCAGCTTGCAACTCAACAACCTGGGCCCGGAGGCCTGCAGGGACCTCCGAGACCTGCTGCTGCACAACCAGTGCCAAATTACCACCTTGCGGTAAGTGTCCTGGGAGGGGGCAGAAGGGAGGCTCTGACCATTCTGGTAGCCACCTAAGGTCGAGGGTCTGTCCTGCCTCAACATACCTGGCACAGGCCTACCCATGGTATAGTAAAAGGGTAGGAGTCTGGCCCTGTCCTGGCCCCCCATGTTCAGTACAAGCAGTAGGATGGAGATGGGGGTAAGATGTCACCAGCTATAGGTGCTAAGAAAGCCTCTGATGTGGCTAAAATCAGCCTGGGGAAGGGGTAAAATAATACTCAAGCCAGTTGCCTGGTAACAGTGCCACTGATCCCTTCCCAGGATTTTCCTTGTTGCTTTACAAGGATGACCTTAATGCTGGACACTCAATAGGTGCTCCCGAAGTGTTGACTGATTTACTAGGAACCCAATCTCTTGGGTTTCTGATTTCTGGTTCAAATAAGGGGAGGAGAATGAGGAAAGAGAAAGGAGGAAGGTCAAGAAGGATGGGGCAGCAGGATCTGGAGGAAGAGGAAGAAGGGAAATGGTAATGATGAAGAGGAAGGGGAGGGGGAGTAGGGAGTCAGCAAAGGGGACTGGAAGGAGGGAAAAGAGAAGAGAAGCTGGCTTCTACCCCATTCTCCCTCCCTGGCAGTGTGCCAAACCTGCTATTTCTCCATCCTCTTCTCCTGGACCTGCATTTCTGTGTCCAGGCTGGTCCTTGTCCCAGGCTGTGTACCCTTTTGACCCAAGCACAGGGTCTCTAACATGATCCTTATAACCTTGTGGTGTTTGTGGCTGTAGGCTGTCCAACAATCCACTGACAGCTGAGGGTGTGGCCTTGCTGGTGGAGGGGCTAGCAGGAAACACTTCACTGACACACCTGTCTCTGCTACACACGGGCCTTGGGGACAAGGGCCTGGAGCTGCTGGCTGCCCAGCTGGACCGTAATCAACAGCTACAGGAGCTGAATGTGGCCTACAATGGTGCTGGTGACACAGCAGCCCTGGCCCTGGCCAATGCTGCCTGGGAGCATCCTTCCCTGGAGCTGCTGCAGTGAGTCTTATTCCTGGTCATTGCCCCATCCCAGCCTGAGACTGTGTTTCCCATCCTCAGTCTTCCTTCTCTCTCTCCACTGTAGTTTTTCTACCCTAGGGGGTGTGCCTGGGCCTGTCCTCTCTTCCTGGGTTTGACTGATGTTTGTCAACCTGATCTGAGGCAACCTCCTCTGTGATTGGCCCTTACCTTACCCTGATTCCCTACCACCATTTCTCTTAGGTTTCTGGTGGCTCCATTCCTACTCTCTCTGTTCCCACTAAATTCTAGTGTCATCCCTTTCTCCCACTGGCCACCACCTTCTATCTCTGGCCTGTTGCAAACATACCCCATAATATTCCATAGCCAGGGGCTGAGTTGTGAGACCCCCTCACTCTCTGTCCACCCACCACCCTATGCCACTCCTTCTCAGAGCCTTGGTAAATGACATCTACTCTTGTTTCTCCTGCTAGCCTCTACTTCAATGAGCTGAGCTCAGAGGGCCGCCGGGTCTTGCGGAACTTAGGGGACACTGCTGAAGGCAGGGCCCGGGTTGTGGTATCACTGACAGAGGGAACAGCAGTGTCAGAGTACTGGTCGGTGATCCTCAGTGAAGTCCAGCGGAACCTCAACAGCTGGGATCAGGGCCGGGTCCAGCGCCACCTTGAGCTATTGCTGCAGGATCTGGAAGATAATCGAGGAGCCACCCTTAATCCTTGGCGCAAGGCCCAGCTGCTTCGAGTGGAGGGCGAGGTCAAGACCCTCTTGGAACAGTTGAGAGGCCCTGGACACTGAGACAGTGGCAGCAGGCACCTAACTGTTTGACTCCTATCCCCAAACCTCTTCCCTCTGTGGATCTCCTGGCTTGCACTACTATTTCTATAAAGATCCCTTGCCCTGGCCGGTGTGACTCAGTGGATTGAGTACTGGCCTGTGAACCAAAGGTCGCCAGTTCAATTCCCAGTCAGGGCACATGCCTGGGTTGCGCGCCAGGTCCCCAGTAGGAGACGTGTGAGAGGCAACCACACATTGATGTTTCTCTCTCTTTCTTCCTCCCTTCCCCTCTCTCTAAAAATAAATAAATAAAATCTTTAAAAAAAAAAGAGATCCCTTCATGACTGGAGGCAAAGGACTGGGCACAGCTGTACCAGAGACTCTCCAGGAATATGTCCAACCAAGCCTCCCAAGTTTGGAATTTCCAGGGTCATGAAACATTCATCCTCTCCCTTGGGCTAGAAGGATGGAAGGATTTGGCATTTCCATGACTAAATTGCCCTGTAACACCACCACTAAGGTTGCTTCCCTCAAGGAACCTCTGTGCCACTAGGGGTCACACTTCTTATGTCTGCCTGCCTAGGGGTGTTGCTGTCCAGAGGTGTTGGAGGGCTTCCACCTCTTGCCTTTATACGTTCTGTGGACACTCAGGATACCTGCAGCCACTTTCCTCTCTCATTGGTGCTTTCTCCCCAACCTCATGCTCCTCTTAACCACAATGGTACTTGTGCTCAGTGGTCCTACAGGTATGTGCACTGATTTGTTCCTATTAAAAAGCTGTCTTCCTCCTACCTACTGTGGCCTCTGCCTGGTGCTTTCAAGGAAGGGCACTGTTTGTGGCCATTCTGATTAAACTGCTGATCACTTTTTGCTACAAGTAGTTCTTAGGTACTAAGTTCAAAGGCAGTGAGGGCTGGGGAGATGCATGATATTGGGGTGTGGATAGGCCATGCTGGGCCATAGGACTCCTATCATCCCTTTCATACATTCTTACCGCAGGCTTGGAATTAAAGGTAGATCAGCAATCAACCTTTCTTTGCACCTAGCAGGAGCTGAGATAGCAGGGGAGTGCCTAGAGAATTTGGGGCCCAGGATTGGGTACAGGAGGAGCATGAATACTTCCCTAGGTATAAGGCTCTCCTTGTTTAATCATTATCCCACTGCTTCCAAGGCAGTGTCTTCAAGGAGGCGGGACTGGGTGGGGGGTAAATGGGAAGGTTGGCTGGCCTCAGTGGACCTTGTCCCTACCCAGAGGACAGGGTTGTTGATTCAACTATGGAAGCAGCTGCAGGTAAGAGGCTGGGAGATAGCCCCTATAGGGGACTTCAGGGTAGTCAGGGGTAGATTGGGAGGCTGAGGCATTATAGACCACAGCACACTTGATGTTGGGGCTTGGAGCCATGAAGCAAATAGACAGGAAGGAGAGAAGAGGTGAGTGCAAGTGTCTGTCTTCCTGGTCCACACCCTGTACAGATTTCTGTACCATGGCCTCAGGGGGAGGGGAAGGAAGGGAAAGGAAAGATTTTTTTGGAACAGAATGGAAGGGCATGTCCTGAGTTTGGGGATTCCCTAAGTTCTTTCATTTAATGACCATGGAAAGGGCCAGAGAATGCACCTCTCTTACCCTCACCCCTTTTTTACCCAGCAGATCTTCAGGACACAGCTTCATTAACTCTGTAAGTGGTATCCTGTGAAGGGTTGGGGTAAGGGGAAGAGGAAATTGAAGGTGGGGAAGCTCTTCAGCTACTATTAGCATTGCAAGTACAGTCTGGGACCTCCTTGCAGGAAGTTTGAGTTTAACCCAAAGCTGGGCATTGATAATCCTGTCCTGTCCCTGGCCGAAGATCACAACCCTTCTGGTAACCACCTCTGATAACCCCTTTACCCCCAGAGCAACCATTCTGCTCCCCAAGAGATACCACAGCTCTGCACAGCCTCCCATCTCCTTGGTAACCACTCATCTGTCTCCCTCTGATAATAGCCTTGGTTGGGAGTGACCAAATGGACAGAGGAGTGGGCCAGGAGTTTCCTTCTGTTTTAGGCACTCTGCCTACAAGTCTGCCTGATGCCCTATCGAGTGAACAGCATCTGTTAGGGACAAGGCGACTTGTACTTGGGCCACATCCTTCCTTCCCCTTTTCTGCTGCCCACTTTCCCATCCAGATTTCTGGATCCTGGAGCGGCCTCGCTTCTGTCTGCTGAGTAAAGAAGAGGGCAGGAGTTTTGGCTTCAATCTACAGCAGGAGCTGGGCAAGGCCAGTCATGTGGTGTGCAGGGTGGAGCCAGGATCCTCTGCCCAGCAGCAGGGTCTACAGGAAGGAGACCGGATCCTGGCAGTGAACAACCATGTTGTGGAACATGAAGATGCTGAGGTGGTGAGGTTGGGCTGGGACTCCCCCTGGCATTGGAGAATGTTCCATAGCATCACAGAGGGACAGAAGCCAGGATCACCTTCTAGGTATATGGGGACAGTACCCAAGCCTTAATCTACCCCACTGCCCAGGATTTGGGGGTACCCAGTTCAGAGTATTTGAGTAGAGGCATCCAGAAAGCTGGTTTCCATACTGAAAATTGCAGGTTCCGCCCTGGCTGGCGTAGCTCAGTGGATTGAGCGCTGGCTGGGAACCAAAGTGTCCCAGGTTCGATTCCCAGCCAGGGTACATTCCTGGGTTGCAGGCCATAACCCCCAGCAACCGCACATTGATGTTTCTCTCTCTCTCTCTCTCTCTCTCTCTCCCTCCCTCCTTTCTCTCTCTCCAAAAATAAATAAATAAAATCTTAAAAAAAAAAGTAACTTAAAAAAAAAAAAAAAGAAAATTGCAGGTTCCAGGGATGGGGAGTTGGCAAGAGGGGCCAGCTCCAACCTCACCCTCTGTTTAGGTGGTACTCCGCATCCAGGCCAGTGGTCCTCGAGTGCTGCTGACAGTTTTGGCACAGCACGTGTATGATGTGGCTCGAGCTCAGTATGGCAATGATGTCCTCCTCTGTCCTACTCTCAGCCCAGGGGTCCGGCCCCGTCTGTGCCACATAGTGAAAGATGAGGGTGGTTTTGGCTTTAGTGTCACCCACGGTGAGCTTAGAGGTTCGGGAGGGAGGTCAGGAGGGGGAATCTCAGCCCTGCTCCAGGCAGCCAGCAGACTAACACTTGCTTTTCTTGTTTTTCTTCTAGAACTTCAGGGTTCTTTCAGGTTGGTACTGAGTACTGGAGGAGCAGCTGAGCGGGCAGGGGTGCCCCCTGGGGCCCGACTATTAGAAGTGAATGGGGTCAGTGTGGAGAAGTTCACTCATAACCAACTCAGCAGAAAGGTATGGCTGCCTGCTTCCACATTCATCCTTCTCTCTTCTGCGCCTGGGGCACCCGCCTCAGGAAGCAGACTCCTCTCCCAAGCACCAAATCACCTGATCTGATTTTGTATCTTCATCATCCATCCTTCCCTTTACTGTTTATGCTAGGCCCTTCTCTCCCCCATCCTTAGTACCTCATTCCTGGGCCTGGGAAGAGGGGCTGTGAGGAGGTGACTGCCTCTGTACTCCCTACCCAGGTAGGTGATACTGAAGCCCTGCCGTGTCCCCACAGCTTTGGCAGAGTGGAGAGCAGGTCACCCTTCTGGTAGCAGGACCAGATGTGGAGGAACAGTGTCGCCAGCTGGGAATGCCTCTGGCTGCACCCCTGGCAGAGGCCTGGGCACTGCCTGTCAAGCCCCGCTGTTTGCACCTAGAGAAAGGGCCCCAGGGCTTCGGGTTCCTGCTCAGGGAGGAGAAGGGTCTTGGTGGTCACCTCGGTGAGTGGGAGCCCTGGGGGTGGGTAGGGAAGGTGGGCCTTGGGGTGGGCTTACAAGTGTACATATGTACCTGAGTGCACATAAGTGGTGTCTCTGTCTGAGCCCCAGCCCTTGGCCTCCTCCTCCTGTGTACCCCTGGTTCAGTTCCCCACTGTCCCTGGACTTGCACTGGGGTAATTGGGAAAGGAGCAGTGAGGATGTCTATTTCCCAGGGCAGTTCCTTTGGGAGGTGGACCCAGGACTGCCAGCTGAGAGGGCCGGGATGCAAGATGGGGACCGGCTGGTGGCTGTGGCTGGGGAGAGCGTGGAAGGGCTGGGCCATGAGGAGACAGTGTACAGGATCCGGGCGCAGGGTTCCCGTGTCTCCCTCATTGTTGTTGACCCGGAGGCTGACCACTTCTTCAGCATGGTGAGAATTGAGTAGCAGGGAATAGGGTGGGAGCAGGAATGGAGTGGGGGTCAGGTGGAGAGAGAAGCAACAGGTTTGTTCTGACTGCCTTCTTCCAGGTTCGCTTGTCTCCACTCCTCTTCCTGGACAGCACAGAAGCTCCTGCCTCTGCCCAGGACACCTGCTCAGCCTCTCTGGTTGAGACCAAGGATTCACCAGCTGAAGACACAGCTGTGTCTTCTGTCCCATGTGGGTCCCACCAGTGCTTCTTGTACCCTGGGCCTGGTGGTGGCTATGGCTTGCGACTCAGCTATGTGGCCAGTGGGCCTTGTCTTTTTATCTCCCAGGTGACTGATGTCCCATTGGCTTTGGACCCTATCAGTATTTTCCTCCTGGTGAACCTTCTTCGCTTCCCTCTATACCCTTAGCACACTCAGCAAACTTTTCCATGGTGTTCCTCGTTCTGTATCTCATCCCCAATCCCCAGGTGATTCAAGGAGGCTCAGCTGCCCAGGCAGGACTGCAAAGGGGAGATGTGATTCTGGAGGTGAACGGCAATTCTGTGGATGGATTGAATGACCTGGAAATGCTTCAGCAGCTGACTGAAGCTGAGCCACCTCTGTGCCTGAAACTGGTGACCAGGTTTCCATAGGGCTTGGAAGCATGGATTCCCCCAGGGTCTGTAGAGGTAAGAAAGGAGAGGGACTGTGAGCAGTCAGAGAAAGACAGAGGGGGACCAGAGAGGTGGGCAGAGCAGGAAGGCTGCACAAAGGTTGGGACATTAGGCCTTGGAAGGTGGGGACAGAAGGACCCATGGAACAAGTCCTATTACTGGGCATTGCAGGGCAAAGGAACTGTTCTGATCCTTGAATGACCTTCTCCCTTCTCTCTCTGCTTAGGAATGGGCTGTAGCCTCAGATCTGTTGTAGTGCCCTTCTCCTTGGCACAGACCTACCCAGTAGTTTTCCTGTCTTCATTTTCCAGCTGGAGGTAGTAGGAGCTGAGCTGCTTTCTTTACGCCAAAAACTGGATCTCCAGGGCTCTGGACAATCACAGGCTTACCCAGAGTCTCCCTTCCCCCCATGGGGCCCATCTTCCTGAAGAGGATGTGGTCAGAGGCCTCAGGCTGGTCCACTAGGAATCCTGCCCTCTAACACCAGAGGAACACATGTGGGAGCTTTGGAAGCTATGCCCCAAGGATGAAGTTCTGCCTAAGATTAGTGGTGTGATTTTGTGATTTATAATAAGAAATATATATTTGGTCTTCATACTCATTCCTGGCACAGAGCTCTTATAACCCTTGGAATTTCTTAAGTAATAAGAGCAATAAAAGGTGGGGAAGTGGGGGAGGATGGTTGCCAGGGGAACCAACCTGTGTTTCAGGATTGAAACTTTTAGCCCTACCCCCACTTCCACCCCACACTGGCTTCCTGGGTGGGGAGAGGGGCTGAAACTTTAATTAACCACCAATGGTTTAATCAATCATGCTTATGTAATGAAGCCTCTAAAAAAATAAAAAAAGCCAAGACTCAGAGGGCTTCCTTCCAGGTTACTGAACATGTGGAGAGGGCAGGAGCTACCATGCTCATACCCTGCCCTAGGCATCTCTTGCCTTTGACTGTTCCTGAATTATATCCTTTATAATAAACTGGTAATTAAGTAAGTAAACTGTCTCCCTGAATTCTGTGAGGCCCTCTAGCAAATGATAAAACGAGAGGAGGGGGTCGTGGGGACTTCTGATGTATAGCCAGTTGGTTAGTAGCACAAGTGACAACATGGACTTGAAATTGGCATCTTGTGGGACTGAGACTTTAACCTACATTATCTCTAGGTAGATAGTGTCAGAATTGAGTTAAATTGTAGGACACCAGATTGGTGTCCACAGAAGAGTTGAAGAATTTCTTGGTGTGGGAAAAACCCCTACACATTTGGTGAGCAAAAGTAAAGTAATACTGAGAGAGTTATCATAGAAGAGAGAAACACAGACTTTTCCCTTTTCAGGTGGACTGTAGGGCCAACTAGGATTGAAGCCATCTATAAGTTACCCTAGGCATGACTCCAGGACTCTTAGCTGTATTGCAGGAGTTAGGAGATGAGCACTTTAGGATTGTGGGGGCAGGTACCTGGTCACTGTTGGTTACTTACAGAAATAGCCTTTTCCCACAAAACTGGCTGCCTGTGTTTGGGGTGGTGGGGGGAGGCTGTGGTTCAAAGGGACTAAAAGGCCCCAAGCTCAAGGGGTGGTATCCAGTTTCTCTAGGAGAAGTGATAAGACCTCGTCAAATTTCTTTCCTGTCATTCAGTCTTCAGGCTAATGGGTTAGCCCAGAACCAAGGTGTTCACATGAGAGTCACTCATTTTTGTCAAAAAGCCTCACCACACAGTTTTGTTGACTTCTACATTAAGAGATCTTTATTGTTGGGGCCCCTGAGACTATATGTGTATAATCTGAAAGGTCCAGGGGGTTGAATCCAAACTGGTAGAGCTGCTCCTTGTACCTGGTGTGGAATCTGAACATGGCTCCATCCCACTGAGGCTTAATGGCTCTGAGCTTAGCCAAGAGCCTGTCTAGGCTGCCCTGCAGACACCAAGCTTTGGGCCCCAGGAAGCAAGGTGGAGGGGGAGGGGTGCAGCAGGTTGGTCAATAAGCTTTCCTTGTCAATGTTTCCTTAAAGTTTTTATTCTTAGTGGGTGGGCATGGTTGCACCCCCTCAAGATAGAAAGGAGTTTCCTGTGGAGATGCTTCTCCTTCCCCTTGGTTTGTCATTGTCGACCTAGCTGAGGCTTGTGGTGGTGGAAGAGTGCTGGGTACTGGGATGTCTGGGCTTCACAGGGTGGTGCTTACATATAAGATGTTCTCACACTTGGCTTCCATGTCTGCTGTGTGTGTGTCCGAAGCTGAGCCAGAGTTCAGTCCCACTCTCTGAGGGCTTGCTTAGCTTCTCACCGTGCAGCCTCAGCTTCCCTCTGGGATGTCATTGGGGAGTGGGGCAGAAGGATGAAAGAGGACAGAATGGTGACACTCTATCCTTGAAGAGTCTCCAATTGTACCCAAAAAATATGGGATCATTCTAGAATGAGTAGTATCATTCCAGACTCCCTCAGAGTCATTAACTTTCCTGTAGTCCTTATGAAGAGTTGAAGTACCATTAAGGTATAGTAGAAAGAGTAGTGGGCTTGGGACAAGAGATCTGGGTCCCAAATCTGGTTGTCACTTACTACTGTGTAACATCGAGAATCTCTCTCTCTAAGCTTCAGTCTCTTTATCTTTAAAGTCTTTTATAACTTTTTAATATATTGACTTTAGGGAGAGAGAGGGCTAAATTGTAAAAGTTCTTGTGTGCCATCCTAAAATATTTCAACTCTATCCTGTAACCAAGAGGGAACAAAGCAAAAACATCCTGTTTAAAATAAATAAATAAATACAAAATTTTGCTTATTTGGAAAGTTTATTCATTTATTTAGCAAATAGTTATTTAGGATCAACCATGAACTAAGCCTTGTAGATAGGGAAATAAATAAGTCAAATATTTTCCCTTAGTTTTTTTTTTTAATCCTCACCTGAGGATACGTTTTTCCTGGTTTTAGAGAGTGGGGAGAGAGAAAGAGAGACCAATCGGTTGCCTCCCATATGTATCCTGACTTGGGATTGAACCCACAAGCTGTTAGTGTGTGGGATAATGCTTCAACCAACTGAACCAAATGGCCAGGGCCATTTTCCCCTTACTTTTGTTTTTAAAACCACCAATCTAAGAGAGAATAATATGTTTTGCTAATGAAAGACATGACAGTGGTAGGGAGGAGGACCTGGATTTGGAGAGACCATTGAAAGGGGGAAATGGGTTAAGAGGACTGATTTCTTTACTTAAGATTTTTGACATCCTGAACCCTCATGTTCCAATCCTCAGTGGTGAGTCAATGGGGAAAGTGATACAAAAGCCTAGACTGCAGTCTTCTAGAGAAGGATCATCTTAAGTTCATCCCTTCAGGCTGGACCTCAACAGTGACCCTCTAAGAGAATGGGCTGAGAGGCTGGGGAGCCTACCTAGCTGCTCTTGAAGGCTCCTCACTTCTTTCTTCAGGTGCCTGGTATGGGTTTACATCTCTTCCTGCAGGACCTGGCACTAATGACTCATCTCTGTGGTGGTGGCAGTGGACAGCCAGGGAACCAGGTGGGGATGGAGTGGTGGAGGGAGGAAGGGAAATTGTGGGTATGAATGGCTCCGCTTGGTCCAGACAAGAGCATAAAGGCTGTCTTGGTTCTTGTGGTGATTCTGAGAATCTGGGAGACCTTGAAAATCTAAGAAGAATGAGGAAACCAGATCCCCTTTCTCCATGCCAGCTCCTTGGGGATGGGGATTGTAGCCCTTCTCCCCACTTACTCCCTTGGGATGAATGAGATCAAGGCTATGACTGCATCTTGCAGCCCACAAAGCATCAACAACATGGCATCAGGCATCCTGGAAGGTCCCTGCCTGAAATTCCAGAGGCATTCCTTTCCTTCCTTCAGGTTCCTGCCTGATTTATGCTCTGCTGGGAAGGCTGACACTAGGCATGGCAAATGGAAGTCTTCCTTGTTTTCCTTCCTTGCATCCTCTGGCCCTCTTGGTTCTCTTCCAGGAGCCTGTCTCCTGCCCACCTACTTGACCGAATACATACCTACATATATGGCCTTCCCTTCACTTGGGGCCCCCTCCAGCTCAGCCTCCAGCCCTTGCAAAGTCTGCTTCAGCTGGTCTGCAGAAGCCTTGGCTCAGTGGACCTCACCCTTCTGCAGAGCTGTAAACAGTGCCAGGGCTCTCAGGACTGGCTGGGGACCTCACTGAATCAGTCTCCATTGGCTTGATGAACAATGCCCTCCTCTGAGAACCTAGCAGCTGTCTTCCAGTCTCTCTCATTCTGTCCCGCCCTTCTTACCACCCCACCCCCTGACCACTGCTAGAATCTTATGAGCTCTTCATTACTAAGAAGCAAGAATTCCCTTTGTGTTTTGGTTCATCAGCTCTCGCTGTCCATACCTTCCTCACAATCCCAACTTGTGACTATCTTTTCCTACTAGGAGATGGTTAGATGTCAGCTCAGGCCCCTACATTAGCTCCAACCTTCCAAGCCCTTAAGAATAGAGAAATGCTCCAGTGGCCCACTTGTGTTGCCCCCAGAGCTTCCGTCCTGCTTACCTAAGGAGCAACTCCTTTTCCAGCACTGCTAGCCTGTGCATGGATTCAGTCTCCACATCTGCCCTGGCAAGTTGTCAGAGCTTCAGCTTATCATGATCTCAGCCTTCCTCATTCCCCTTCCATACTCTGGACTTTTTTCCTGAAGGAGATCTGAGGACCACTAAATGAGTGGCAGTGTCTACTCAATTCACCATTGTGTCCTTACTGGTTAGCACAAATATGTGTAATGAATATATAAGGAAGGCACAGAGCCAAAAGGGGCTCAAAGAAGGGGTAGGTGCCAGTTTTCCCACTTTACCAGCTTTGTGGAACCTGGATGTGATAATATGAAGGAGAAGGGTCCAGAATGCTCCATCTTGTCATGTGAAGGGCTGAATTCTCTCTTCACAGTCTCCAAGCCAGAGCATGGAGAAGCAGGGGCACCCACCTCCACACACCTTGACTCACCAGCACCTGTGTTCTTTATCTGCTGTACCTCAGCTTTTATTCTTTCTTCTTTGAACTTAGGTGGCATCTCCTTGCTGTTCTGGGGGACGAAGGGGACTTGTATTTAGGTCTTGGACATGGGGATACTTTCCTGATACCTAGATTGAACCAGGAGTGCCAGGGAGAGTTAGAGTTCTAGTCTCCAAATCCATCTCTTATTCTTCCCAGAAGCTTTCATTCTTGGTCTCCTTGGAACCTTAGGCAAAGCAGAAGTCAGTGGGGAGTATGTAACTGTGTCTCTTTACAAGTCAGGCTCTACTTACAGAAATCACTCCTTTCAATCCTCTTTTGGAGAAAATAAATCTCAGTACCTTCTCTCTTCCCTCTTCCCATTATCTTTACCCTGCCTCTTCCTACCTACAGGACCTTCTCTTATCTCTGTTGTGTCTTCCTATGAAGTAACCCACTCATGGGGAGGGGCAGAGAAAAGGCCCAACCAGCTAGGAGCATGATGAGGAGACCTGGTTCTGGGAGCCAATCCAGGGTGGCAGAGTTCCTTCAGGGGCAGGACTGAGAACTGGAAGGTTGGATTTCCTGAGACGGCTTGTTGTCCAGACAACTGGGAAACATGAAGTTCATCAGAAGGTAGAACGGGCTACATACAAAGCTTAAAATACCAAGGTCCCAGAGGGCAAATTCTCTCCTTATCCCCAAATCCAAATGTAGTTAGAGGAGAAAGGGCTTTGGAACTCATTAGCTATAGTTCTCTTCCATGTATCACTGCCTACAATTTGGAGACTTACAAATGACAGACTTACACATTTGAAATAATGCTGTAGTGTTGATACAGAGAAAAAAAAGACTAATGGTAACAGTTTGGGGCAATTGACATCCCTAGGTCTTATCAGCAAAGACATTATTAGGCTTAAAACTGAAGATCCCCTTCAGGAAGGCATTCTTTGGGATATGAGGGAAAGAAATGTGGGAGAAGGTAGTTAAGAGAGTTTCTCCCTTCCAAGAATGAGACACAGAGGAAAGGCAGACCCATGGACTCCAAGTGCTGACCTAGAGGGATGCAAAAGCAGAAGAAAGGGCACTGATTAGAGATAAGAGCTGTGAGTTCTCATCTCCCCTCTGGATCTGTAAACATGGGTAAACCAAGTTTACATATCTACTTAATTTTGCTCAGCTTCAGTTTCCTGGTCTTTAAATCATTGATTTCGCAAATCCTGAAGGTCTTTGTTTTAACTGGGTATTTACAGGGCTATCTTCTCTCATGGTGACTTAATTTATTGCTTCTCTTCCTGCATTCCCTTATGTGTTTGATTTTCAGACAGATGCTGAGTGAGAAGGTATACTTTGGCTCTGGGCAGTAGTAAGTTTGTTGGGGCTCCCTCTCGTGGACTTGCTTGACCTTCTTTGGAGTCTCTTAAATTTTTCTATTTAAATTATTTATGGGGCAATGTTGGAGGTGCTTCCCTTTTTGGGATGCTTCCTAGCATCTTGCTGGAGTTATGAGTGGTTGGAAAAACAAACTTGGGGAAGGGAATATGAAAGATGACTTGCCCTTGCTGGGAAGCCCCTACCCTCCCTCCAGTCCTGTGCTATGTGGAGCCTTGTCATCTGTCTGCCACCTGGATCTCTAGGCACCTTACTCACTAGAGTGAAAACAACAGAAACTTCAGGAGTCTTCCCCTTGTAGATTAAGAGAACTTTAGACTCTTTCTTTAGCTATTTCTTTCTATCTCTGTTTCCCTCAATATTTTTGGTCAATTGTCTATTGTCAGGAACAGATCTGAAGAAATAGCCATAAGATCTGGGAATTAAAAGTCCTTTCTTCAGGGAGTAGGCAGATTCAAGAAGAGGATGATTCATGTTGATTTGTCACCTTCCTGACTACAGGGTACTTCTCTGGACCTTTGGATATTTTCTTGTCGTTCCAGGTGCTTACATTTCTGTACCTCAGGGTCAGATAGCCTTGTGCACATTTCTCAAACATGGAGAATACTTTTCTTCTAATCTTGAACGATATTTTTTTGTTTAGTCTTTCCCCAGAACCCTCTCCTTCTGCCTAGGAATGCAATCCTTAGCTAGAAGCCTGTTTGGGAATATTTTCCATGGAATGTTAGTATCTCCATTATGCTAATGCGTGGAATGACATATTGAGGACAGAGATTACAGAATACAAACAACATATCAGGCCTCAGAAGAGCATTTACTTTTCAAATATGTTCAGTCAACCAACTTTCAGGTGGAGAATGAGGATGTGGTTTGGGGTGAAGGTGAAATAGGATAAGAAAAATGCTACATGTCACATGATATGATACAGACTGAGTTAGCTCAACAATAACCCAGAAATAAGAATGACATTGGATCAACAATCCAATCCCATCTCTAGTACATTTTGAAAGCAAGCCAAGTAAAAATTGTGAAAAAAGTCAATCTTTCCTTTTTTTTATTAACCCAGTTTAGAAGTGAAAATAGGAAAGATCATTTCAGTACAGCTCTGTCTTTCTTTGAATAGGATCACATCTGAGAGTTTTGAAGAGATATAGAGAAGAGAAGGGCCCCTCCCCAAGCTTTATTCAGATGTGAGAGGTCATTGTGTATTGAAAGAAATATGGCTTACTACAGCAGAAACTAAGTGCAAATTATACTATTCCATTCTATACAGGTTGTAGTAAAGATAATTCAAATTGGAAGTCTTTAACCAAGCTAAAGATTTGTAGATGACCTAGACAAGCTCAGCTCCAAGGGTTTTTCTTTTCTTAAGGAAAAAAAATTATTGACTTCTGGCCAAGATGGAGGTGTAGGTAGAAACACTGTGCCTCCTCAGACAACCAAAATAAGGACAACAAAAATTTAGAAACAAAAAAACACCCAGTACTGACAGAAAACTGAACTGTATGGAAGTCTGACAAACATGGAGTTAAAATAGACACATTCATCCAGACTGGTAGGAGGGACGGAGTTGGGTAGCAGAATGGAGAGAGGTCACAACAAAAAAAGTGGTGGCTGGTGGACCCGCAGGTGTGCAGGTGGCAGCTGGCGGAGCCTGGGCGCAGGGTAGCAGCAGGTAGACCCAGCGAGGTGGCGGATTGTGGAGGGGCATGGTGCGCAAGGTGGCTGGTGGACCAGGCAGTCCCACATTCGTGTGCAGATAAACCAGGCGAAACTGGGGAGCGACAGACTGCACAACCCGGGGCTCCAGCTCTGAGAAATGAAGCCCCAAAACCTCTGATGGAAAACACCTGTAGGAGTTGAGGTGCTGGGAGAGACTCCCAGCTTCACAGGAGAGTTCATTGGAGAGACCCATGGGTTCTAGAATGTACACAAGCCCACCCACACAGGAATCAGCACCAGAAGGGCCCAGTTTGCTTGGGGGAAGCAGCGGAAGAGACTGAAATCCAGCAGAGAGTGGAGCAAGCACTATTGTTCCCTTTTGGATTCCTCCCCCACAAACAGTGTCACAAAATAGCATAGGTTGCCCTGCCCTGGTGGACACCTAAGGCTCCGCCCCTCACTATGTAACAGGCATGTTAAGACAAAAAAAAAAAAAGGCCTAAACAAAAGAACAGATCAAAGCTCCAGAAATAATGCAAATAAGCGATGAAGAGATAGCCAACCTATCAGATGCACTGGTTCAAAACACTGGTGATCAGCATCCTCACAGAATTGGTTGAATTTGGTCACAAACTAGATGAACATATGAAGGCTACACTAAGTGAAATAAAGGAAAATGCACAGGGAACCAATAGTGATGGGAAGGAAACTGGGACTCAAATCAATGGAGTGGACCAGAAGGAAGAAAGAAACAACCAAACAGAAAAGAATGAAGCAATAAGAATTCAAAAAAAAAATGGGGAGAGGCTTAGGAACCTCCAGGACACCTTTAAATGTTCCAACATCCGAATTACAGGGGTACCAGAAGGGGAAGAGGAAGAGCAACAAGTGGAAAAGTTATTTGAATCAAGTAATAAAGGAGAACTTCCCCAATCTGGCAAAGGAAATAGACTTCCAGGAAGTCCAGGAAGCTCAGAGAGTCCCAAAGAAGTTGGACCCAAGGAGGAACACACCAAGGCACATCATAATTACACTACCCAAGATTAAAATGAAGGGGAGAATCCTCGAAGCAGTAAGACCTAAGGAGGCAGTTACCTACAAAGGAATTCCCATCAGACTGTCAGCTGATTTCTGAAAAGAGACCTTACAGGCAAGAAGGGGCTGGAAAGAAGTATTCCAAGTCATGAAAGGCGAGGACCTACATCCCAGATTGCTCTATCCAGCAAAGCTTTCATTTAGAATGGAAGGGCAGATAAAGTGCTTCTCAGATACACTCAAGTTCAAGGAGTTCATCATCACCGAGCCCTTATTATATGAAATGTTAATGGGACTTATCTAAGAAAAAGAAGATAAAAACACGTTCACTAAAATGACAGCAAACTCACGTTATTAACAACCACACCTGAAAAAAAAACACCCAGAAACAAACTAAGCAAACAACTAGAACAGGAACAGAAGCACAGAAATAGAGATCACGTGGAGGGTTATCAACAGGGGAGTGGGAGGAGGAGAGAGGGGGAAAAGGTACAGAGAATAAGTAGCATAGATGGTAGGTAGAAAATAGACAGGGGGAGGGTAAGAATAGTATGGGAAATGTAGAAGCTGAAGAACTTTTAAGTATGACACATGGACATAAACTGAAGGGGGGAATGTGGGTGGCAGAGGGTATGTAAGGTGGAGGGGAGTGAAGGGGGAAAATGGGACAACTGTAATAGCATAATCAATAAAATTAAAAAAATGAAGCTAAAAAAATTTTGAATTTATTGGGGTGACATTGGTTAATAAAGTTATATAGGTTCTAAGAGTTAATTTCTTACCTGTACCCCAGTAAATCTAAATTTGACAATGAGGAGAAAAAAATTACCCTTGTGGTACCTACTGTGAAGGACTGTGGTAAGTGTAAGAAATAAATGGTTATGGAAATTTAAATATTTTATTTATTTTTTAGAGAGAGGGGAAGGGAGAGAAACATAAGTTGTGGTTGCCTCTCACATGTCCCCCACTGGGGACCTGGCCTGCAACCCAGGCAAGTGCCCTGATTGGGAATCAAACCAGCGACTACCTGGTTCACAGGTCTGCACTCAGTCCACTGAGCCACACCAGCCTGGGATAGTTATGGAAATTTAGAGGAGGGAAGGATTGTTTCTTGCTGGAATGTCTGGACACTATTTGAGTTGAGTTTTGAAGAATGGATTGGATTTTAGTAGCACACCTTAGAGCAGAGGGAATGCCCTGAGTAATGGTTATGAAAAAAAAAAAAAGTAAAAAAATTGTGGTATTTTGTGACATGGTAAGTCACCCAACACAAGATATAGGTATTATAGGTATTATAAAACTGCAAGGTAATTTGGAGTTACATCATGACTCTTTATTCAGGAGGAATGGGGAGTGTTTAAAGTTTTTTTGTGATGCTGTCAGAACTATAATTTAGGAAAACTAGTCTGGTGGCAGGATGGACTGGAGGCAGTAGGACAACTAGTGAGGAAAAAGTTTCAATAGGGCAGGGGAGAGAAAAGGAGGGTCTGCAACAAGGCAGGTGATAAGTTTTGACCATTATCTAAGAACTTTGTCTAGATTCCTAACTCTTTCTAGGTGTCCTAACTCTTTCTAGTTAGGAACTAATGAAATTCTACTGATAGGAAATTATAATGTTGACTTCAAAGGCCTTTGAATTAAAAAAACCAGGAAACCTGGTCGAAGGGCTCTTGAGTTCAGGGGTATTTTTTTCCCCTTTTACAGGAGTACTTGATAAACTTAATTCCTTAATTAGTCAAGGGTTTGTGGAAGAGCCAGGTAGGAGGAGGATCTAAGGTGGAACTGAGTACTTATTGGCACACCAGGGTCTGCAAGTTTCCTGAGGCTCAGAATTAGCAAAGGTCAGGGCACTTCCCTCTTTGGGGAAAAGTTATTCCAACGGAACTCTTAGATTCAAGTGGAAGTAACTGGGAACTGCATTCTGTTTCAGACAAGTAACAGGAGCTCCTTGGGCTAGGGCTCACAGCTATCTTACAGTTTCTGCGGTGCGGGCCTGGTGCTGGGGGTGCGGGCCTGAGGTGCAATGCTCTGAGCAGGGGAATCTTAAGTGCATACTCAGTTCCCAGAAAAGGAACTAGTGTTCAGAAGCCAAAAAGGGGGAAGTGTTTTGTTTTCAGAGGTCAAAGGTCTTGGAAGAGGAGCTCACGGCTTGTCTCAAGCCTTTCTGGGGCCTAATCTGTTTCCAACAATTTTCAGCATTCACATTCCTGTCTTTGGGCCAGACTTACTGATGAGTTTAAAACCAGGGAGTAGGGAAATTACTTCCCTTTCTCTCCCACAATGTGAAGAAGCAATTTCCTCATTGGCCTGACGTGGGCTAAAGACTTGACGTTAAGATTTTTTCTAAGGCTTAAACACGTCTTAAATATTCCAATGACCCACACAGGGAACTTCAACGTACAGCCCACAGGGAAGATGGAGAGCTCGGCTTCTGCCTACTGCGCAGACTCCAAGCTAAACCCCGCCCCTTCCTTGCCCCGCTACTCCACCAGAGAGCCCCGCCCGGTCCGCCCCGAAGGTAGGGGTGGTGGAGGTGGCGCGGAAACTTGGTCGCGGCTTTTCGAGAGCTCGTGGCTCGGTTTTGCTACCTAGTACAGACTCCGACGCCAGTCTTCGCGAGTTTGGCGCGCTCCTCCCACAGCTAGCCTTGAGCTTCTCGAAGGGGCGCGCCCGCGCTGACTCGCGCCCCCGGCCCCGCCCACTCCGCTCCCTGCGGCTGTCCCTCCCTCCGCCCGGACAGCCAGCGGCGGTGGCAGCGGCAGGCTGAGGCCCCTCCTTCACGCCCTCCTTCTTTCCCTCGCTCGCTGCCAGGAGGAGCCGGCGGACGCGGCTGAGCCTTCTACGCTCTCCGCGCCATGGCCGGCAACGTGAAAAAAAACTCTGGGGCTGGGGGTGGCGGCGGCGGCGGTGGCGGCGGCGGCGGCGGCTCCGGGGGCTCGGGCTCGGGAGGCCTGATCGGGCTCATGAAGGACGCCTTCCAGCCGCACCACCATCACCACCACCACCACCACCACCACCACCACCACCTCAGCCCCCACCCGCCGGGGACCGTGGACAAGAAGATGGTGGAGAAGTGCTGGAAGCTTATGGACAAGGTGAAAGGCCTGCGGACATCCGCGGGAGGAGTGGTGGGCGTGGGTGGAGGAGCCGAGGGAGGGGAAGGAAGAAACAGAGGAAGCTGGGGGAGGGGACGTGTCATGGGAGGCTGGGGAGGCGAGGAGCTGGGGTAACTGGGCTGAAGGTGGGGGGTCATGGGAGTGGGGAAGAAACCGGGAAGAAGGGGGTTGGCTGTGAGGGAAGGCTGCGGTGGTTGGGAGTGGGGGGAACGTTGAGGTGGTGCGATTGGGGTAGCGACACAAAAGCGGCTGAGGTGAAGGTTAACTGGGAAGCCACCGGGGCGGAAGTATAATGGGGGGTGCGGAGTCTGGGGCTCTGTAAGGGGCATAGGGATGTCGGTCATGGAATTGGCCTCGGAAGACAGGCGGGGGATGAGGAAGAGTATTTGAATCACCGGCTAGGGCTGTTAGTTGAATGAGGAGTAGAACTCTTGACTACGGAACTTAATTGCTTTAGGGGCTCTGATTGAGACCTGGGGTCAGGCCCAATCTGCAGGCAAAAGGCATTCTAGTGTTTTTTTTTTTTTTCTTCCCCTTATTAAGATGTAACATCAAGATAAAAGAAACAACGATGTGTAAATGGGTCAAACAAGGAACTTTCCTCCACGTCTAGCCCTGGCTCGTTTTTATCATCAAAACATTGGATGTTATCCTATTGGTGCTTAGATGTGCACTGATTAAACCAAAAATTTTGGTTAGAACCATTATCTTGGAAGAGACGTATTGATTGAGCATTCTAAGCAGCAGATACTGACTTGTTTCAGAACTTCCTCCTTAACATACACTGCTTTATCTGAGTTCTACAATAGTTTGTGTAACGGACCCGTCTCCCTATTACAGGACCTGACTCTAAGCTTGTTTAATGAGTTTCTTTGATTACCTATTAAAATTTTTTTAAAGCAAGGTTGAAAAATGACACCATTATATTTAGCCTTTTTACGTTTGGCATTTGGGAGAATTTTACTTCTTTATAGTTGTGTCTACATAACAAAATATGGTTGTTAGTCTCAAGTATTGAAAAATTTTTAAGCAGTCTAATGATTTGTTCTGGAGAATTCAATACGGTATTTTCTTGATATTTTTCACATTATTAATTAATAACTTACTGTGCAAAATTTACACTGCATATGAAAAGTGATTAGAAGGATCTGGCATATTGTAAGAAAATGGTGTTATTTCTTCCAAACTAAAATTGGTTACATTCTGGCCGAAGGTTCCTCTTCTGAAAAGTTCTTAAAGGATTGTTTCAGATAAGAAACAAGTAATAACGATCATGAAGCACCTGGCAAATATAAATGTGCTATGTAAATGCTTAATAAGCCCTGTGTGTGAATTAACAATACTGTAGTGCGTGGTTTCAGAGCCATGTTTTCTTACATTAAATTGTTGATGTTGTAATTAATGATATAAGTATTTTTATGTTGATTATATTGGTGTTGCAATGCTCATTTCATTATTGCAATAAAACTATTATAGAAAGTTAGGCATGTAAGGAAACTTTAAATGCATTGGCATATTTTTAAAAATATGTATTCAAAATCTGAAGTTTGTAGGTTTACATTTTAGGGATTTACAGTTAGAACTAAAACGGTTCTCTTAGAATAGAAAACATGTTTACATTTCTAAATAGTTTCTCATATGAGACATTTGTATGCAGTGTATCAAAATTGTATTGATTAGAGACTTTTTCTTAAAAACTTTGATGAAACTTTTGAGTCTCTGGAAGGTAGTCCAAATAAGATCTTTCCTTAATTCTTACCCTTTCATCTCTTTAAAGTATGTGTATTGAATTTTTATTTCTTCTGCAGAATGTTTAAGTATTTGGGAAGAATAAAGAGGACTCGGAGTTTTGAGTGAAAATGATTTTTCAGGTGTTGATAGTTTCAAGAAAAGGAGGCTTCTAACTTTTCCATGTTTGCATAGGGAGAGGGGTGTTTTACTCTTGTGTTGCTTGTCTTGGAAGATAACTTTTAGTACTCTGTGCTCTATATCACATACTACTGGTTCTGCTGAAAGGAAAAATCAGTTCTTTCTTATGTATTAGTCTGATAGATTCATACTATTGGGTTGGCCAAAAAGTCTGTTAATGTTTTTTCTGTACAATGGCTCTAGTAGTGCTTAGTTGTCTTTAACTTTACTTGAAACAATTTTGTTAGATTGTATTATGTATGACAGCTGTCATGTCATTGTGCATTTAAAAAAACTTACCAAAATTGTGAATTTTTGTGCAGCCATTTTAATATTGAAGATGGAAGAAAATATGTAACATTTAGCTTGTTCTGCTGTATTATATTTCAAGAAAGGTAAAAACACAATTGAAACACAAAAAAGATTTGTGCAGTGTATGGAGAAAGTGCTGTGACTGATGGAATGTGTTGAAAGTGGTTTGCGAAGTTTCTTGGTACTATTGACATTTTGGCCAAATAATTCTTTGCCGTGGGGCTATCATGTGGGGCTTCCAATTGTTGGAAGATGTTTAACAGCACCCCTGGCCTCTATCCAGTAGAAGCTAATAGTGGGAGATAACTGACATACTCAACATATCCAAATCAGTAAAGTTATTGGTGAAAACAAAAAGTATGTCTTTATTTTATGGAAAAAATGTAACATACTTTTTGGCCAAGACAGGACTTTCCAGAATTTCTGAATACTTCCGTAGTGTTGTTAGGTCTCACAATCTCGTTTACTCTTGACGTTTGAGCATAGGTGTTGTCTCTCTCTCTCTCTTTTTTTTACTATTTTTATTCTTGAAAGTCTTAAATGTGACTTTCATGTGGTATAAGTGGTGAAGAACTGAACTGTCAAATCCATAAAATGTTTCACACCTGTTTTGTCTTTGTCATAGACATTAGATGAATATTATTCCAGCCTATTATTAATCTATTGATTTAGCATTGAGAATTTTTAGTCTTTTCTCCTCTGGCTATATTGGATGTATGCAGATGGAGAAGTTGGAGTGAACCATGGGTTCTGGTCAACGTAGGCCCAATTTACTAACCATTCATAGGCTCAATTTACTAATCTATTGTGGAACTTAAACTAGTTGGAAAAATGCTTGTGCTACTATAATGCTTGTTACTAAACAAAAGGTATACTCAGCTTCTAGTTTTTTTTTTTTTAACCAACCCAGTATATTGTGTAATATTTTTGTAAGCACTTGCGTGCGACAAGAATGGCTAGCAAAGAGACTACTGGACAGGGGAGTGGAGAGAGAAGTTACATAAATTACCTTACATGTAAATTTAGAGGTAGCAAGGTATTTAGTTTAGTGAGAGACTAAAAATTTCATTATGAAGTAGAGTGGGAGGTGGCAAACTTTTCTGTCAGGGGATAGATAGTAAATATTTTAGGTATTCTTGTCCACATACTCTGGCCAATATTCTTTGTTGTTGTTTTTACAATACTTTAAAAATGTGAAAGCCATTCTTAGTTTGCAGGTGTACGAAAAAGGGCCGTAGCCTGTAGTTTGCACATTTCTGAAGCTGAGTATCATTCTGGCAGAATTTTAGGTTTATACTGTTTTTATTTTAAATCAGCTAATATCATTAAAACATTAAGGTGTTGATTTTTATTTATTTCTAAAAAGATTGTACTTATTTTTGAGAAAGGGGAAGGGAGAGAGAAAGAGAGGGAGAGATACATCAGTGTGTGGTTGCCTCTTGTGTGCCTCCATCCAGGGACCTGGGCCACAACCTAGGCATGCACTCTGACTAGGAATTGAACCAGCAACCCTTTGGTTTGCAGGCCGGCACTCAATCCACTGAGCCATACCAGCCAGGGCAGGTGTTGATTTTTGAAAAAATAGTATATAATTTGCCCTGGCTGGAGTTGCTCAGTTGGTTAGAGCCATGGTCCCCAACCTTTTGACATCAGGATCAGGGACTGCTTTAGTGGAAGACAATTTTTCCATGGTCGGGGGAGGGCACGGGGAAAGGAGGTGCAGCCCAGGCCTGGGAGGCTTCTCTCTTCACTTGCTATCCTGCTGTGCTGCTCACTTCCTGTTGTGTGGCCATGTTCCTAACAGGCCACAGGACCACTATTGTCCCGGGGGTTGAAGACCTGGTTAGAGCATTGTTCTGATATGCCACGGTTGCAGGTTTGATCCCTGGTCAATGAATGCATAAATAAGTGGAATAACAAATTGGTATTTCTCTCTCCCTCTCTGCCTCTCCATTCTGCCCCCCACATCAATTAAAACATTAAAAAGGATATAATTTACTGGAAAATGCTTCTCCTTAAAGCATAAGTTGGAAAGAAGTGTTTTCAGCCTCAGATTTTGAAAACCCTTAAGTCTGGGTCTCCTAGGCAAGTCAAGGAAGGATATCTCTAAAATGTTTTATAATCGTATGCATCATTTTAGTCAGTTGAATAAGAAAAACAGTAAAATCAAATGATATTGCTTGAAACTTGTTAAAAAATCGTGTAGGGAGATGATTACCTCCTCAAGCAGCACATTCAAAGGTAGTTCTTGAAAGGTACCATATCCTGCTGGGGTAAATTTTGCTCTGGGGGAGTCACTCTTAATTTTTAGTTTTTTTTTTAAAAAGATTTTATTTATTTTTAGACAGAGGGGAAGGGAGAAAAAGAGGAAGAGAAACATCAGTGTGTGGTTGCCTCTTGTGCACCCCCTACTGGGAACCTGGCTCGCAACCTAGACATGTGCTCTCAACTGGGAGGCAAACCGGCGACCCTTTGATTTGCAGGCTGGCTTCAACCACTGAGCCACACCAGCCAGGGTTCTTTTTAAATAAGACCCTTTAACATTTCATGTAATATTGGTTTGGTAGTGATGTAGTCCTTTATGTTTTTGTTGTCTGGGAAGCTCTTTATTTCTTCAATTTTAAGTGATAGTGTTGCTGGGTAGAGTAATCTTGGTTGTAGGACTTTGCTTTTCATTACTTTGAATATTGCAAGTCAATCTCTTCTAGCCTGTAAAGTTTTGGTTGAGAAATCAGCTGACAGTCTTATGGGAGCTTCTT